CTCAAACTCGAAAATCCTCTCACATTCTCAGACGCGAGCTCAGGAATTGGAATAGGCATTGTAATAGGTAACTACTGGAGGGCCTGGAGGTTAATCCCAGGGTGGAAAACACACAATGGTCAACGAGACATCGGATGGGCGGAGGCAGTGGCTTTCGAACTCCTCGTATACACTCTCACCTCTCTGCCTAGCATTGGCAGGCACGTCGTCGTCCATGGAGACAACACGGGCGTCGTTGAAGGATGGTGGAAGAGGAGACACAGAAACCGAGAAGTCAACGAAGTCTTTCGTAGAATCAACGAGTTTATTCACACTCTACCCTACCCTTACGACGTCGTCACTACATACGTCCCAAGCGCTTCCAACCCAGCGGATGAACCATCCAGAGGAGTATACGGACCAACAAGCCTTCTTCTTCCCCCAATCAGCCTTCCAACAGAGCTTGGTACCTTCCTCATCGACGCTACAGAACCGCTGTCTGCCACAGAGCTCCGCCTCCTGCGTGATGGCCATTACTCCACTCCAGCAGCTAAAGTTATCAACCGCAAGCTGCTCAGACAGCAAGCTGACGAACGAGCAAGAGAAAGCCGTTCCGAAGAAGAAAGCTTCATCAGTAGCGCGCTCAACGATAACGAAACATAAGAACTCACGATTCGGAGCACCGCTACCAAATGTAACAGATACTTCCCCCTCCCCCATTCCCCAGAACTATAGACTTAATTTGACACCCAAACCTTCTACCCTGCGCCCACATTGTCTTGCGCGAGACCGACTAAGGCTGTGGTTACCAGCGGGAGATAGTACAAGACAAGAAATAGCGGTAACCCCGCAGTCTCCTAGACACGAAATTTCGGAGGCGCAGTTGGAACGAATCCTTGACGTCATCGGGTCGTCATGGGCGCAATCGACGAAAGAAACGTATGGGGCGGGTTTGCTGGTGTTCCATGTGTTCTGTGACACAAACAGAATCGCGGAAGAGCACAGATGTCCAGTTGCTCGCAGTCTCCTCCTAGATTTTCTCTGCAGTTGCGCAGGGTCCTACTCCGGATCGTCGTTAGCTAACTACGCGGCAGGTCTAAAAGCCTGGCACTTACTTCATGGAAGGAGTTGGTTGATCCCACCCAATGAGTTAAAAGCGGTGCTAGATGGAGCTGCGGCGGCAGCGCCTGAGTCGTCCAAGCGTCCTAAACGGCTACCATTCACACCCGCTTACTTAGCCATCATTCGCGAGCACCTAGACCTCAATTCACCACTAGATGCGGCCATTTTCGCGTGCTTGACGACGACCTTTTATGCAATAGCAAGGTTAGGAGAGTTCACGGTAAATGCAATCAAGGAATTCGATCCGAAGAAACATATAACGAGATCCGGCGTATCCAAAACAGCAGACCGCAACGGTCTGCCAGTTACGAAATTCCACCTACCATGCACTAAATGTTCTCCAAACGAAGGAGAGGACGCATATTGGGCAATGCAGGAAGGGCCGTCAGACCCTAGCGCTGCATTGGAAAATCACTTGAGAATCAATCCAGCAAACAGTGATGCACACCTATTCGCGTGGAAACACGCCAAAGGACTGCGTCCTTTATCGAAGAAAGAACTATTGAAAAGAATAGCATCAGCAACAGCGGCAGCAAACCTACCGGAACTAAAAGGACACGGACTTAGGATTGGGGGAACGTTGGAGTATCTTCTGCGCGGAGTGCCTTTCGAAGTCGTGAAAACGATGGGAAGGTGGTCTAGCGAAGCGTTCACACTATATCTCAGAGAGCATGCTGTGATTCTCGCACCTTACATTCAGGCATCACCAGTACTGGAACCTTTCACGCGATACACCATCCCCCCAGTCCGGTGAAAAGAAGCACTTCTCCTAGTTGAAAGGGCCCCAAGCTTCGCTGAGTGCGTCGTAGTTCTCCTAATACATGGGAACACAGCTCACCTGACGCCTTAGGCACGGACCCATGTTTCGGGCCGGAAAGCCCCTGCGGGGCTTTCGCCCAAAACAAACAAACAAGCAAACTAACAAACGCATCCAACGAAGTCCCATCACGTTGTAGTTTCAGTAGAAAGAGGATACCGAGTCCGTAGATCGAAACCTAGAAAGTAGGATGAGTTTGTACAAATACAAACAAAGACACCAAGCTACGAAAAGCGCATAGAATCTCAACTAGCCTAGGCTACGATTGGCCACGGATGGCAACCTCCTATTTTACATCCTTTGTATTGTTGCTCGATGATGGTCAAATGAATGAAGTAGAGTCTACTGCAGAGAGGTAATAGCGAGAGTACTAGAAACGAGGTAAGGGCTTTGTGAAACGAATCAGACGAGATTTCATATTGGTCTGTGCCAGCGCAGGAGGCGCGGGTCTGGACCGAGTACATCAGTGAACCGATGAATCCCAAGTTGATATTGTAGACGTGTGAATTATAAACGGGTAGAATCCTGTCACGTGTATGCACGAATGAGTATTGTCAGTACCCCTAGTTCTGTAATGCTAGGTCAATCCTTTTGAATACCAGGTTACGGTGGCTTGGTTGAAGTATTTGATACAGATCATACAGATGAGTCGAAAATTGCATAAAGTACAGATGTTTCCATATATCAAAAAATGAGTACAGCTGGATGAGTCCAGAAACATGTCTTGCTTATTCCCGACGCGACTTCCTCATTCTAAACATGAAATTAACATCTGACAATAATAATTATGAACAAGAGCGTACCCTAACTCAGGGCTAGCGCTGCTTCTGTGTTGCGGTGGTCAGGCGCCGAAGACGGTTTGTTTCTAAGCAGATCGAGATGCTTGTTGACGTTGTGCCACAATCGTGGTACGCCGCCATTTGAACACATAACTTGGCTGACGGCAGGAAGCATGGAGTAAATGATGCGAGCAACACCTTCAACATTCACAGCATCAAGCTCGCACAAGTCCATGGTTAGATTTTTCAGGGAAGTATGTTGGAATGACTCGACTTCAGGCCCGATATCAATATTCCGAGCGTCGACCGATACCTGCAGGTCTTGCAAATGCAGACATAGACGAAGTGCCGCGAACAGCCCGCGAAATGTAAGGGTAGCTGGAGAAGGATGCCAGTTCATCAATGATAAGGAGTGAATGTGCGGCCAAGTTGTCATGGCCTCAAAAAGAAGGTCATCGTCGAGGTAGATGGGGTGATGAACAGATAGCCTCAGCGTTCGTAGTTCCTTAAAGCAAAGAAACTGTCTGACTGCTGTCAACGAGTCACTTGTGTGCTCCTGAGTTTGATTATTGGAAGAAATGTTGATGTGTTCAAGGGTCTGGGATGCTTTGCACAGTGACAGTGCATGGAAAAGCTGCTCGGCCTCTGCCCAAGGTAAGACACGGACATGCATCTCAAACTCCTTTAGCGAAGGGAATTTGAAATGTTGTATGATTGCGACAGCGGATGCCACTTCTATTCCATCGAGCGAAAGATGCGTGAGGTGAAGGAAGGTTGCAAAATTAAGATTGTCCAAGGGGTAATGAATCGTGCGTCGTATGAAAATCTTGAGCTCGAGAAGGGTGGGGATGGTAGAAAGGTGCATCCATGCTGCCGAGTCGAAGGGCGGACATTGCAGACGTCTGAGCCTCTTGCATGAACGAAGGGTTTCAGAGAGTTGCGCCCTGTCGCTATCCTCGCGGATGGTAAAGTCCTCCATATCAGGACAGCGTGCCCCAATATGTTTCATATATAATTGGAGTTCCGATACATAACAACGGCGCAACGTTGGTGCCAGGAAAAAGGGCAAGTCTCCTATTTCCGTGCGTTGAACCAACCAGGATAACGACCGCAGATTCGGAAAGACACATGTCTCGATGGGAAGGGCCTCGAGAAGGTGGAAATAATTGCTGGCTGATATGGTTATATTGCGCACACGAGCAGAATGGCGTAAAAACTGATGGAACTCGTGCTCGGCTAATGGGTCAGCGTCCTGGGACCAGCAATACTGTATTTTAGATGCTCAATCAGCGAACGAACGAACGCAGAACGATGAGGTTGCTTTCAATTACTCGGCACTGACCTTGGATTCGGGATCATATATCACTGGGTGTAGCCTCGTCACACAGCCTAACAGCGGTCTTAACCCAGGCATGTCAGACCAAAGCAAATCCATCGCGAGCCCGTGAAAGATTGTGCATGTCAATGCGAGCGATGCAAGGGATTTTCGTGTGGATGATTGAGGCCAGCCCAATATTTGTGAACTCGGGGGTTGACTCAAATTAATATTGATGAATATCTGGACGAGGATTTCTGGGACTAGCAAAGCACGATGCATCGATGGAGGAGGTGGGAGGTGTATGGCAAGTTAGGCTTCTACTACTTGTTTGATGTGTCGTAAGACTGGCGGAGATTTGAATCTCAAGACCGCGATCAGCCGTGGTGGCAACCTCCTATTTTACCAATTTAGCATCCTCGTTCATGTGGTGAAGTAGAGAGACTACATACAGTAATAGCGAGAGTACTGGAAACGAGGTTTCGTCTTTGTGTGTGGGCCAGCACAGGAGAGGGGACCGAGTAGTACATGATCCAGAAAAAGCCTTCGGAAAGAAAACGTGGATAGAGGTGGCCAGGTGGGTGGACAAAAATCGTTGGACCACGCGCAAATGGGGATGAGCGCAGCCTTAGGAGGACAAAAGAGAATGAAGCGCCGATTCTCAGACGAGAGTGATCATGAGGCATCCTGCCAGACGTCGAATGGCACGGATCTTCATACGGTGAGCTTACAAATTTAGGCCGTATTTCAAAATTTCACGTGTCCGTTCGCAGACTCACGATCCACTTTAAAACGGTCATCAACTCGTTCTGTTCATCTCGGGCAAAAAATGGCTATCAATCGCATGTTCATAATCGCAGCTTTGTTAGAGTCTATTCTCTATGGTATGCATCCCTTTTTCTGGGCACCGTACACAGATAACCCACCTGACAGGAGTCAAGTGAGTTCGGAGTGGACAGGCTTGCACTAGGCTTATTTTCGTCAACAGCTGCGTGCTTTTTGGCGTTTGTATGTACGCCCTGTTTAATGGGCACAAACAACTGCATTGGTTCGTATGATTACTTGTTAAATCATTCGCCACCATTCACCGCCACCATTCGATCAGGATCTTGAATACTCTTTCATGCGTTTTCCACATCTCGATCGCGACAGCACACAACATCCTCTCTCTTATTCTATTTCTGGAGGCCTTTACAAATCCTGCTATAGTATCCATTCCGGACGGAACTATCATATACTTGTTCAGGAGCACACCTTTGACCAAGACCATGGGGGGATTGTTTCTTCTCAACGTGCATATCATATTTTGGTCGTAAATCGCGTCTCATTGTCACTTTTTTCAGGGCCTCGCTCTAAATTTACTGCTAGTGAGTAACTACTGGCGTGTGGAGGTGTCGAACCTAACACATGCAACAACAGATCTGGAGGCTTTATATGGTTTGGAATTGCAAGTGGATTCTTGCTTTTGTCATGGTGAGAGATCTTATTTCATCTGACTCGTTGTTCTTTTGACGAGTGGTGGTACCGCTAGCTAATTCTGGAAGCTGCACAATTCGGTAGGCTTGTTGGCTGTCAGATCAAGCACTGACAATACTCATTACCCCTGTTAGCAACTGGTGTCGCAAACTTGGCCATGCTCATAACCAATCGCATCTTCTCGAATACTGCCATAGCTTTGGGAAACACTAGTTGCGCATGCGATCTTGCTCTTACTATCAGTGTCACGTCCGGAATCGCATATCGTCTTTGGCGGGCGAGCCGAGATATATCTGATCTAACCAATCACAATTCCTACAAAACTGCCATGTATACTGCAATCGAGTCCGGTGCGATCTATACCAGTAGCATCGTGGTCGTGTGCGCTCTGTACCAATCCGGCAGCAATGCTTTTGGCATGGCAATTAATGTTGCTATCCAGATTTCTGTGAGCACTTTACGCTGCTTCTTCGTTTTAGTCTCACATTCTTCTAGACTTTGACCCCACTTCTTCTCATCGCTAGTGTTAGCTTTGGCCTGATGCACCGTGCATATCCTGAAGCATCAACATTTACGGAGCCCACTTTCGTTCGACCAATCCAGGTCACAATCACCCAGGAGACCCGTACCCACCCTCTATACACTATGGATTCTATTACAGAATCTACTGAAAAGCGTCAGAGTATACGGGTATATCATGACGACGTATAGTGAAATTGGCTGCACGGATTCAATTCCTCCCATCGATGGAGGGAGCGTAGACGTGCCAATAAGCAGGGAGTTTGCAGTGATTCATGCTGCACTTGCGTCGGAAACTCGAGGAATCCAGGTGAAGATCATTAAATGACTCCAGGAACTGACAATCTTTCAACACACGCGACGACGTTTAGCCATACAAGTGCTGCCTTCTATTCCTGGCACGCAGATTTTCCTAGGCTGGACATTACAGGACTGGCCTTTGTGCGAGTTCTGGAAGTTTAGCGATGGGCGGAGCCATGGATCTACGGTGGCGCGCTAATAGGCTTTCTGATGGGCGAGGGATTGCGCTGGGATGGGCAGTAGCTGATTAGATACGCTCTGGCGTTTGACAGTACAAATATGAATAGTTGTCACGTGACGTTGTATGAAATATTTGTGATCAATGCAGAATCTCAATCCTGCGCACTCCTTCTGAAGTCCCGAAGCATCTAACATGCCTGAGATTACGATTCTCAAGCGACCGAGGGAGGAGGCTGTCATAACGCAGCGGATGTTCTTCAAAAAGACTGCCCGAGGAAAAGTTATCAAAGGTACGTCATGGGCTCATCTCATCACGATGCTTCATATATCGAAGGCCGTTTCTCCTTAGTTCTACGCGAACGGTACCTTCGAGACGATATATCTTGCGGCGTTAACGGCTGTAGAGCATGCGACGCGACAGCGCAGACTGTCCTTTCGCGTTCTGGGGACACCACCCACAAAGGTTTCCCCACAGGGCACTATATTTTGCCCGACACCAATGTATTTCTTGCACAGGTATGCATACGAGTACGAGGTCGTGTACGGCGCTGATACTTTACAGATGGACTTGATCGAATCCAATTACTTCACGCCCCCCATCATCATCCTACAAACCGTTATGGAGGAAGTCCGTCATCGGTCGTTACCCTTGTATAGTCGCCTCAAGGCCCTCACAACAACTGACGAGCGGAAAGTATGGGTGTTTTACAATGAGTTCAGGTCGTGAGTCATGCACCTTTATTGTCGAGTTTCGCATTGTTGCGGTTAACAATATGCTGCTTCACCTCCTGTTCTGAACCGAGCTCAGTCCTCGGTCTTGAAGTCATGTTCCATACTATCCTTCAAATCTTGGTGTTCTCATGAAGTGTCGCAAATGTCCCTTATTACTGACATATGCGTCATAGAGAGACTGCTATCGTACGAGAAGACGACGAGACGCCGAACGACCGGAACGATCGAGGTCAGTGATGCCCAGATTTGTATCTTTGCCTATACGAATAAAAACCACACAGGTATCAGGAAAGCCGCAGAGTGGTACAACGCGCATCTAACACTAGCACACCCTCCGATCCGAGGTCAACCAAATGTAGCGCTACCAAAGGTTGTGTTGATCACAGACGACTTTGCGAATCGCCAAAAAGCAGACAAGGAGAAAATCCCATGCATTTCAGGTATGTATTGTCTGATATATACTTTGCCTCGCTTTCTCAAAGAAGTCCTGAAGTGCGCAATTATGTGGACGGGATGAAAAACTCGGATCAACTTCTCGATCTACTTTCGGCGACTGGCTCAGACGAAGTGGAACCTACCAGAGCTGTTGCAGGGCGTACTGCGCTCTATGCTGATGTATGGCCAATATGGCTTTGCAATTTCTTGACACTTATGTTGTGCTTTACAGTATCTTCCTATGTCCACCCTCGTGGCGGGAGTCAAAGCTGGTCAACTTCATCAAGGTCACTTCAACGCAAATCAATATAACTACCTCGAGGTTTGTGACGAATGCCTCCGCTCATGCCAGTGCTGATTTCTTCCAGGGTAACGTTCCTGTCCCTGCATTCACGAAAGCTGTCCTTCTAGCGGGCAGGGAAAATATGAACCGAGCGGTTCAGGGTGACGTCGTGGTGGTCGAAGTATTCAACGAAAGAGAATGGAAAGCACCGACTGACGAGGTCATCGACCAGGAAGGCAAGCCAGCTTAGTTAGACTGACAAACTGAATGCTAATTTTGCTTCTCAGCAACACTCAAAAACGATGATGCAGAGGACTCAGAGGAAGAGGGTGACGACCTGATGGTGCACGAGCATGAATCCAAGGCTCTTCGCGCCGAGCATACGAAAAAGGCTCCTGCAGAAAAGCAACCGACTGGTCGAGTGGTCGGCATCATCAAGCGCAACTGGAGAGCGTATGTTCCTCTCCTACTTTTATATTGAGTAAGCTCACATGTTCTTTTGACACAGATATGTTTGTCACATCGACTCTACAAGTCTCACCTCAAGTAATGCTACATCCCTCGGGCTTCAAACGGTGTTTGCTACTCCAGTCTCAAGACTTCTCCCTCGCATCCGGCTACGTACGCGCCAAGCACCGTCACTTGTTGGAAACAAAATATTGGTAACAATCGACCGGTGGGAAATTACCTCTCGTTATCCGGAGGGTCACTTTGTTCGTACGCTTGGAAAGGCAGAAAGCAAAGAGGCCGAACAAGAAAGTCTCTTGTTAGAGTTTGAGGTGCCATACAGGCCCTTCGGAAAGGCGATTCTCGACTGTCTGCCTCCAGAAGGCGAGCAATGGGTTGTTCCGCCTAAGAGTGCGGCAAATCCGGAATGGAGAGACCGTACAGACCTCAGAGATCTCATTATCTGCAGTATAGATCCCCCAGGTAATGCTTATTGGATACTGCGTAAAACAGGTCTGCTGACTTCCTGGATCAGGCTGTCAGGATATTGATGATGCCTTGCATGCACGTCGTCTGACGAATGGCAATATCGAAGCTGGCGTTCGTAAGTATTACTTTTGCTATTCCTGGTTTACTCTCATGATTGTCAACAGATATTGCGGACGTGTCTCACTTTGTCCACCCGGAGACTGCGATGGACAATGAGGCTGCTGCACGTGGATCTACGGTCTACCTTGTTGACAAGCGCATCGACATGTTACCTGCGCTTCTTGGCACCAACCTTTGCTCCCTCAGGCCACATGTTGAGCGATTAGCGTTTTCGGTCATCTGGGTTAGCCAAATTCTTATGATGTGCTCACTAGCATTTGACTGAACTTGTTATAGGAAATGACTGTAGATGCTGAAATAGTAAACGTCGGTTTCACAAAATCTGTTATCGCATCCAAAGCTGCATTCGAGTACGGAGAGGCGCAACTTCGAAAAGATGATCCGTAAGTGACACATCTCTCGACTTATTTTCTTATAAAGCTGACAATTCGACTGTAGAAAACTAAATGACAACCTCACGCAAAGCATTCGACTATTGAACTCCCTTGCTCAGAAGTTGAAAGCTAAGCGGATGGCGGCTGGCGCGCTCAATCTCGCATCACCTGAGGTCAAGATTCACCTGGACAGCTCCGAGTCATCCGATCCGGTAGATGTAGAACAAAAAGCGTTACATGAGACGAACTCTCTCGTTGAAGAATTCATGTTGCTGGCTAATACCAGTGTAGCAAAAAAGACTCAAGAATCCTTCCCACAAACATCAGTACTAAGGTATGCTTCTTTTGTCTGCTGTATACACTTTCTCAACCTTTCACAGACGGCATCTACCCCCGCCACCTACAAACTTTGAGAAATTGCAAGATATCTTGCAAAAGCGAAAGGGACTCAAACTCGACGTTTCCAGCTCGGCTGCATTAGCAGATTCCCTTGACAAATGCTTAGTACGTTGTTCTCAATGGTTTGTACGACTCTGTAAATTGTTCACTGCCATAGGATCCAAAAGAACCTGCTTTCAATACATTAGTGCGCATCATGGCCACGAGGTGTATGCTGTCTGCGGAATATTTCAACTCCGGCAGTGTCTCTCGAGATACCTTCGGGCACTACGGTCTTGCAAGCCCAATCTATACACATTTTACCAGTCCTATCCGTCGCTTCGCTGGTATGTGACCCGTGCAACACTCGTTACTTTCCTAGTATTTACATTTCCCAGATATCCTCGTGCACCGCCAGCTTGCTGCCGCTATTGGCTATACACCACTACATCCATCTCTTCACTCCAAAATGCACGTTGAGCGCATCATGGAAGTTGTTAACAGGCGCCACCGGATGGCACAGATGGCGGGTCGTGCCAGTGTCGAATTCTACGTCGGACTGGCCCTCAAAGGTCGTAATGAGAGGGAAAAGGAGGTGACTGAGGATGCCTTCGTCATTAGGACATTCCGGAATGGTCTCGGGGTGTTCGTGTCCAAGTATGTTCCATTCATGGTCAGTTATTGAATCCGAAACTAACTTACTGTTACGTAGACTCGGACTCGAGGGTCTGGTGATGTTTAAGCGGGACACTCAGTTTGACGCGGAGAACTATACCATCAGCGTCCCTTCTTCTGGTATCGGGCGACCGGATGTGACGATATCTGTTTTCGACAAGGTGACTGTGAGGATTGAAGTTGAGAAGGATAAAAATACTCAGAGAGGGCGGGTCAAGATGACGCTTGTTAGTCCCGTGGATTCGAGGGCATTGTAATTATATGAGATGAAGTCCTGGGCTAGCACTCATCCGGTTGACCTTGTAATGAGTCTGAGTCTTATGACGTTCTGGGGAGAACTTGTGTGACTTGTATAACCACATGCGCGATGCACAACATGCTCTGTCCTCAAAAACAAACCCAATTCGTGAAGCGTGTTCTAAACGACTAGCGTTTTCATCTATGCAAACAAGTGGACCATCTGCTGCATAATAGACAAAGTATTTGCAGCGTCGGCAAGACGGAAACGAACATTATTGATACAGCAAGATTCAACTGCAGAGTCAGACGGAAAATCAAAAGGACGAAAAATAATTGCGACCAGTTAACAGTAACAACAAGGCACGAACGAACGAAGGAGTAAGAAGCATATGGTATCACTAGTCAACTACAAGATATACAAAAACATTCACTGCGCTCAAGATCCAAAGCATCTAAACGCAACCCACTAGGCACCATCTGAAATGATACTCCCGATACTCAATACATTTTTCTTCCCCTGCAGTCCCACCCGCGCATCATGCTCGAACGGCGCGCGTGACAGTTGGATCAGCGGGTACGCCCCTCCCCCTCCCCCTCCGCCTGATGTGTTCGTGTTCCCAGCCACTGGCGATGAGGCGTCAGATGAGGACGAGGAGGAAGAAGACGCGTGTTGGCGGGCTGATGATGATGGGTGTTGGCGGAGCGGTGCGAGTTGAATGAGCCCGTGCTCGCTAGCTGAGTTGCTCCATGTAGATGCGGGGGAGGCCACGGGCCATTCGTGGTGAGAGCCTGCAGTTGAGTGCTGGGAAGGCGGAGGGGGGAAGGTTATACCCTCCAGCGGATGCAGAGGCGTATGTGGACTGTTGGTGCCGTGGATAGGCTTGTTCGTTAGAGGGGCCCGTGTACGATTGATTTGCGTATCGAGAGGGAGCTGGAGAGGTAACGCGAGGGGGGTGGGCCTGGGAGTGAGTCGAATTGGATGGTTGGTAGTAGTCGCTTGCGCTGGAGTTCGGGTAGGGCTGTTGGTGGCTGAACTCGTATGATTGGGTATGAGATGGTGCGGATGATGAGTAGGGTTGTGGATTAGCGGGAGGGGTAGGGGTAGGGGTGCTCCATGATGGAGGATGAGCGGAGGACTGACTGGAGGGATAATAGGATGGTTGTCCATGGCTGTGTGAGGGTCCAGACGGGGCAGCTGGAGATGACTCGTAGTACGAATCACCATTTGGGCTAGCATATTGCTGCGGCTGCTGGGGTGGATATTCATACCTAGACTGTGATTGTGAATATGGCGTGGGTGTAGGGTATGTGTTGGACGGTGGTGCTCCATACTGCGACTGAGGCCGTGATGATGAAGGGTATTGTTGGTGAGATGAAGATGGATGCTGATATTGACTAGAAGTAGTTGGCTGACTGCTATATTGTCCAGCAGATGGATATGGTTCCTGGAAAGTGCTGGATGTCGCGCTCTGACCGTCATAACCGGATGGATATGCAGTGCGCTGCGGTGGAGACTCATACGCTGTTCGTGAGCTTTCGTATCCCCGCTGATCTGGTTGCTCATATGCTCCCCTTGAATTCTCGAACGGCGGTCGTTGATTGGGACCACCTTCATAAGCAGACCGTGGCGAATCAAATGAGGAAGTGCGCGAAGCCTCGTATGTTACTCTGCCTTGCGAGTTAAACACAGGAGCGGCTGGTGAAAAAGATGTAGTCTGCGCAGGGGGATGCATAGTTTGCCGTTGAGAGACAGCGGAGGATGCAGGCGCAATGGATGGGGGTGCACTGCGGGAATTCTCAAACACGGCTGCTGCAGGCGGGGCTATGAGTTGCGCCCCAGGTGGCGGGGGTATGGAACCTCCCAGACGCGAGCTTTCATAGCTGGCGCCGCGAGGTGGTGGGATGGCCCCACCTGGAGGGGCAGACGGCGGAGGGTGAGTCGGCGCAGGAAGTTCGACGCCACCCGGTGCACTTGGAGCACCCAGCATCGGATCTAAGCTCGTTGATGATGGCCATGCGGGTAGCCCCACTAGTGACCCGGTGGGAGTCTGCAAGTCTGGTGCACCATTGGAAGACACTGTGCCGTGCCGAGGACGTTTGGAATGACCGGAAGAAGTGACTGCCGAAACCGGGGTATCGTTTTCATCTTCTTCATTATTGTTGTTCTCGGTATCGATCGGAGTAGTGAGTGCAGCGATAGGACGCTTGCGAACACGAATGTCTTTGCGGATCCGGATCTTGATACCTTGATCGGCTAGCGAACATGAAAGAGGTGTGGACTCTGATGAATGCAGGTCAGTTATGCAACGAACAATCAGTCAAGAAGGAAGCGTTGAGGAATTAATTTGCATGATTAAACCTTACGCTCACCTTCCATACCAGGGAATTTCTTTGCAGTGTAAACATAGAATGGTGCAGAGTATATTGATTTACAGTGGCGGACGGTGTTGCTGAGGAGAAGTTAGGGACGTGGGTGGGTAGTTGGTCAGCGAACTCACCTGACGACTTCGAAGAGGCTGAGCTTCAAACGATAAGAACCCTCGGTTCTAACGCTTAGATCGGGGAAAACGAAAAAGCCAGCATCTTCATTGCGATTTTCGGTATCTTTGAGGTGGTAGAGGGACGAGACAACTGAACCTGTCGTACACCGCGTTTTCCCATCCTGACAGCTGGCAATCAGAAAGAGATTATGATGACGGCAATATACTGACCTTTAGCCAGTGTAGTTCGGTGTCGTCGTCGGGTTTTGCCAGACTTGCAAACATGAAGTAATAAGGGTTTTGAAGGTAGCTGTGGGCATAGCTTGGGTCTGAGTCATCGCCATCTAGGCGAGCTGGAGAAGGAGGTTGACGAGTTTGTGGGTCGATAACACGAAGTTGAATGATGGGAGGTGGGTCGATTGGACGTCGGTCAGCTAAGCGAGGATAAGCTTGTGTGAAAAGGAATAAAGGTAGCTGACGTACCTCCTACACCACACATACGGGCCTGTTTTGGCTCCTGCCTGACAGTAAGCTCATATTCCCTGTGCGGACGATTAAACATGTCAGTGAGGAGAAAGATGATATAGACAAGGGGGATAGAAGTAAGTTATCTGATACGAAGTTGAACGGTGATGGACGTTTAACTTTGATGCCCTTAGTAGTAGGCGGAACCGTAACATTGGAACGATCTTTTCCTGTGTGAGGTGGGAGCGCTGGAAGAGGACTTACAATCTGTCTCTCTCATGATATCCTCTGTCACGGTCAGCGTATCCATAGCCAGCTGTGATAGGATGGTAAGTGGCTGGGTCCATTATTCTTGAGCTCGTCGTCGTCAACGATGATGACGATGAGTATCTTGATAGGACCTTTGTAAAATCGATGGTCTATTGTTTTGCTGGCTGGGAACCACGTTCCAACCCAAACCTGGTTTATGACATGGCAACCCAACAACACGGGTCCCACACACGTGGCAATCAGTCCTAGATTCAGCTCCTTTCAGCTCTCACCAGCCCTGAACCCTGTCTACTTTCCGTTCCATCGGCCCTCATCGTATCCTACAACGTCAAGCGATGGTAGGCAATTATAGCAGCTCATTTTACCTTTAGTCGAGAAAACAAACCTTATCATCATCGCGTTCTTCTGACTAACTTGTACTACTGAACTTTATATCTTCAGGTCAACCCATATGGTTTGTCGATCTTCCCAAATGCCCATGTGTTGCATCATTATCGGACCACGCAATTTCCCTGCAACGGATCACTTCTACCACGCGACACGAACCAAATCTCACCCCGACGATCAACTCGCATCTTGGCGAACCCCGTTGATTCGTAGGTACCACGATATTCATTAAATCGACTTGGTTCCTGCCTCTCATGACCGACCTACTTTAGCCTACCAGTACCCCACAGTAGCCCACAAGTCCTCACTTGTTCTCGATAAGTCCGTGGACTCCGCGCTTGACATTGCATGCTGTCACTCAGAACTAGCCTCATATTCGCTCACATTCGGGTCTTCAACATTTCTATTCCTGCAGATGGGCCTTCAGTATGGCAGTCAAAGGTAGGTCTAGAGCTGGCCAGACCCCCTTCTAAACTTAACACGCTGCAGATAAGGATGGGCGCTAGCCTCCCCAGTGTACCAACATTCGTGGTCTATATTTCTTCGTCTCCAAGGGCTTTTAAATTTCGATGGCAAGCAATCGTTTACAAGCTTCTCCGACACCTTACTGTTTGTGATTGATCGTTCTGTCGCAGGCCCATTTGGTGACTGATCATACCGTCACGACGGCTTATCATGACCACATCTGTTTCATGGATATTCAAATGAAGCTTTGTGATTCTCGCGACCATCAGTCTCCATGAATGGTACGCTTCTCTTCGTCTCAGTGTTCTACGTGATGCATGTACTATGATATAGTAAATATGTTTCTTCTCCATCGAGTAGGCAATGTTTGTCCGAGTCTACATTACCCCTTCCCGACAGGTATATTTGGCAGCCGTAAAGAAGCGACGCACGAAAATCCACCTTGGGACCAACAACCCGATTACGATTGTTCAAGCTCAGCGCTCAGTGATCATGCTTCTTTTACCGCTGCTTCGGACATTTTACAACAAACAAGGCAAGGTCAGTTGAGGTTCAAGGCGCGTGATATTTGGGTTACGAGAAGATTCCGTTTGTCTACCAGGTCTGCTTAGGGGAGGCGACGATGCAGTACGAGAGTCATCCGACAATCACAGTGGGACACTGATTCCCTTTACTTACCTCCGCGTTGACTAGGCTGTCATCCTCATTGGTATACTACGTACGCCGGACAAATTTACGGAACTCAGGGATGTATGGCTAACATGCGGAACGCGCGGTGGCACAAGCTGGCATATTCGATATTCCCATGTATGTAGTGGCCTGGTAGACAATGAAGGGATATAATTATTTCTTTGTAGGGTTGCCTGAGTCGTGTCAATTTGATGACACTTTCATTACAAGACTATCATTTCTCCGAGTCCGGATCATGGAAGTAACAATCAATACGCTGTGTCCCGGGAGGATAAATTGATTTCTCAGGTTATTTCAAGCAAAAGCTTTTCAGGGTCACAGTACCTCGGAACATCAGGACATTCGAGGCAAAGTACAGTAGCACAGGCCAGCCATAACTCCAATTATATAGTGTGAGTGAGGACACGTCACGATTCCCGTAGGTACTCCAAAAATCAGACACCAGCAAACACACAAAATCATATACACAAGAAAGAATCAAGTACTAAGACTTCGTGTCCCATGGTTCATCTGATGATAAATCCACAGCGGGAAGTTTGCCCCGAAGACCCGGCATTTCTTCCGCACTGATGTTATATGATTGTAGTAGCCTGACGAATTGATCCAATGAATCACGGTCCGCGCGTTCCAGGAAGGTCGATTGCTTGTCGTACTGCTGTATCCTATCATGGACTGTTCCGCTCATTGGTGAGTCGTGGTAGGACTTGACCGCAAGTTTGATGGCTCTACGAGACAGCTTCCGGTTTTCCGACACAAGATACAGCGTCTGCAACACAAGAGTCAAGTCGATTATGTATTTCATGAAGCGTTGGAGCGCCGAACGACTAAGAAGAGACCTGTTGTTATTCTTTGGATGAAGGATAAAAAGCAGGACATACGACCGCTGATACACCTCGTAAACCCAGTGCGCAACCACAACACTCGCCACTATTGGCACTACGATGGGGGCGGCAGGTCCGGCCAAGGCAGACAAGATGCCCGCAATAGTACCCACAATGGAGAGCCCAAACGCACTGCGAACATTGGATGAGATGAAATCCATCCGTTCCATGAAAGACTGCCCTACAGGTTCTTGTTGGGATCAGCAGTGGGTCCAACGTCCAGCTCATCGACCATCTTCGTCATTATTGTCCTGAACTCTGGGCTGCACAAGTGCTGCACGTAAATGGCGTCAGAATATGCGACAACAAATAGAGAAGAGAACCATTACACCATCAGGGTCTTGAAAGTTCCATACATTGACGATGTCAGTGTGAAGCACGTGCAAACAGTCCCACATTGAACGGTTCTTGAATGGTGCGCTTGATGCGAGCGCCTTCCAGTATTCTGAAAGACAGACATGGATGCTCAGATTATGTTCAGTATTTTTGAATATAAAATCAAGACAGACTTCTCTTGCCAACTCTGATACCGCGTAAATCGCAAGATAAGAATGAAGCAAGTAAGACTCACTCTATTGATGCCTTTATTTTGAGACCAGGATCCACTCGCTGAGCGACGGACGTCATCACCGACGCGTCGGTCCCGATATGCTTACAAACGAGTTCCTCAGTGGTTCGGATCAAATTGGCCAGCGTCTCCTCGTGGTGGTTTCCCTTTGCTGCGCTCAAAATTGTATTGAAAACGCAGATGACAATCACAACAATGACACCCACTGGAAACTGTAACATGCGGCATATCGGACCCTGCAAATTTCTCTAGGGGTGCAATGCAAACTTCCTTTAGCTTGTCTTTTGCGCTTTTCTTCGTGAGTTCCTGGACGGCCTCCTTGCTCAAATCCTTGGTGAAGGACTTGTTCAGAGTTCTCTCCATGCGGTCGAGGAGGGTGTCGTATTTGGTGAAAACGACAACAATGGGAACTTCGACCTGCATTAGCTGTGATCTGGCCAGAACGGTAGCAATCCATCAACATACTTTCTCCTAGCTCTCCTTCGCGTTTCGACGTGAGAAATTGCTCCACGCCGGTCTCTAGTAAACGCCCGCCTGCGCGGGGTATTTCAAAGCAAAGCCTTGTATGTCATCAGCTTGCCGTATAGATGCACTAAGATGGAGGCCCCACCAAACAGCGTGCAGCTGATCTTTCAAATCAGGCATTGCTTTCCGACGGCCAATGAAATCTCGGACAATGTTGAGGTTGTCTTTTTCCCCTGGTTCAAAACCTTTGCTATCGTGAAGAATGAACCTGTCGTTCTGCGGTGAGATGAACTCCTGGTCGATGGTGGCCTCGCCTGGCTGTGCGTGCGAAGTGGTCTATTCACAGGATGAGTAGCTGGACGTTGTGCAGTGTCGTGGTCAACCCACCGCGTTTTGTACTCCAAATGCGTGGTTGATCAACGAAGACTTGCCAACACCAGTCTATTGGAAATACCGTGTCAACACCGGCCTGAGATAAGCGAAAACCTGGTACCTTGCCTATCACCAGAATTCGGAACCTTGAAAGCCCCTGACATCAACCTGAAGAACGGCACTTTACTATAATCCAGACTCACTGAGGACACTTCCGAAAGATTTCATCAGTGGTAGGCCGGAGTTCCCGGGTTTCATCGGAGGAGAAAACCTGTTCGGTCTGCTAACATACCACTTAGATGGTTTCCGATGGGAGACATAGAGCCTTACTTCGGTCGTTGGATTCCCGGAAAGTTCGACAAAAATGTTGATGTTTTTATGAACCTTTTTGTATTCTGTGTATGTGAGGTGGAATCCGTGAGTGATCAAGCGGAGAGCGCAATAGTTATTGTTTCACCTCGTCTTTCTCCTGTACTACACTTGCGGAACATGTCTTCAACCGGTTCGAAAGCAATGTCTTCATGCTCGGTTCCATACCATCTCTTATACCGTACATGCAAGGAAAACGTATCCTCGAGAGAAAGGTTCCTATGATCAAACACGATAATACCTCAGGTAGGTACAGTTGTCGGGGTCGAGTCCTTACATGGGTGGAGAAAACGTCTGTCGCAAAGCCTTTCCAGCCCCACTTTCGATTGGCATGGGCGACTTGCGGCAGATTCGTACTTCAGCGGACTCCACATTCTTGTTCGAGTTGCTGAAATCGACGATGACACCTATTGGATATATTCAGTGGGATTGATGATTCCGTTGATGAACTAGTACCAGAGATGTAGAGAGGAGAAACCGGCGTTGAAGCGTCAAGGGAACTAGCCATGCTGTATCCTTATTCGAGTTAGGGAAGACGTTCCTTCCTCATAGTGGATTTATCTAGAGGCCAAGCGTGGGCCATGCGTTAGCTACGCAGAAGGGAGGTATCCTCGTGTAGCACCCATACTAGTTATTCACGCGTACGCCCAGCTGGTTATGAAATTTGGGTCAAAAATTGTGCCTGTGTCAAGCTTGGGAATGCTCGAGGGTGTATGGGGGCTTGGAGCGATCACACTGTGACTGATTAGAATTGAATGGCAGTGAGAGGAGGAAGCGCGGTTAGCTTAGCTAGCGCTTGTACAAAGCCACCGTGCTTCTAAAGAGACAATTATGTACTGTTACCCTTTGGCGGACCCTGTGACCTGATATCGGGATGCTGACCGTCTCGATCGATGGCTAATATTACTCAGTACTCGTGATCAGGCCTCAAGCGCTTGACCCAATACAAATATACCGTCACTTCGATATCTGACTCCTCGTGTATTCCTCATGTGCCAGTATGCAGCTGCGTATATCCATTGCCCGGTCCGGCACTGGACACGTTTGACTCAAAGGGCTCGAGTAAAATCTAGCAGTAACTTAGTACATGAGACTACATTGTTATGATCGGCCATAAATCCAGTTGTATAGTACCTTCTGTAATCGCGTCAGAATCAGACACCGCCCATACACAAAATGATCCACGAAACATGCAATCGAGTGCTACGACTTCTCAATTTACCATGCCTCATCTAATGACAAATCTACTGTGGGCTTTTCCCGAAGTTTGGACATTTGTTTCTCGTCGATGCTATAGAATTGCATCACCTCGGCGATTTTATCCAAGGTATCGCGGTCCGCGAGTTCCAGGATCGTCAATTGCATATCGTAATCCTGAATTCGAATTCGAACTTCTCCGCTCATTGGGGAGGCGAGGTAGGAAGCGACCACCAGCTTGATGGCCCTACGAGTGAGTCCCTGGCCGTCTGACACAAGATAAAGTGTCTGCAGCACAAGTGTCAAGTGGATGATGTAGGACATGAACCGCTGAAGCATCGCGTGGCTGACAAAGAATCGTCGATATCCTTTTGTACACAAAAAATAGTGGTGCGTACGATATCTGGTATACCTCGTAAACCCACGTGGCGAGTACGACACCTGCTGCGATTGGTACTACGATGGGAGCCACAGGTCCGACATCATGCCCGCAATAGTGCCCAGCATGGATAATCCAGAGGTCCTGTAAACATTGAATGAGATAAAAATTCATCCGTCACGTAAAAGACCGGCCTACATGGTCTTCTTGAGATTAGGTGTAGGTCCAGCTTGTATCGTATCGATCATTTTCATCATCATTTCCCTGAACTCTTGGCTGTGCAAGTACTGTGCATAAATCACGTTAGGGCGAGTGCAAGGACGACAAATAAGATAGCCATCACAAGATGAGGGTCATAGAAGTTCCATACATCAACGATGTCAGTGTGAAGCACGTATAGACAATCCCACATCTTGCGGTTCCTGAACCTTGGGCATGACATAAGCGCCTTCCAATACCCTTCAAGACACGAAGATTTAAACCGTATTCAGTAATTATGAACGCGAAACCGGGACGCACTTTTCTTGCCAACCCTGACAATGCGTAAATCACCAAATAAAAATGAAGCAAGTAAGGCTCACTCAATCGATGCCTTTATTTTGAGTCCAGGATCCACTCGCTGAGCGATGGAGGTCATCACCGCGGCCTCGGGCGTAGAATGCTGACCGACACAGCTTTCAGTTATCTTGATCAGGCGGTTGAGAGTCTCCTTATAGTCTTCTTTGGCTGTGATATTGCACTTCAGAGGCATGCATGAACCTGTCAGAATATCGGTACATACTAGAGGTCGTAGCGTGGGGAATACCAGCCCCTGCAAATTGCTTTAGAGGTCCAATGCAGCTGTCCTGAACCTCGGCATCAGCTTGTTGCTTGGCGAGTTCCTTGATGGCTTCGTCGTCCAATCCATTAAGAGAAGCTTCATCTAAATTTCGCTCCACCCGATCGATGAGCATATCGTATTTAGTAAGAATGGCGATGACAGGAACTTTGACAAAGTGTGAGCTCCAACGTAACAGAGAGATAGGATCGATGAACGTACCATTTCCCAGCATTCCACTATGTTTCGATTTCAGGAAATCCTCCGTTCCCGTCTCTAGCAAACGTCCGCTTGCATGGGGTATCTCAAAGCAAAGCCTTCCATGTATTTGGTCAGCTCACCACAATGGAATGGTCAAGATAGAATCTACCAAACAGCGTGCAACTGATGTTCCATAGCAGGCATCTTCCTCCAACGTTCGATAAAATCTTGGACTATTTTGAGGTTGTCTCCTTCCCCTGGTTCGAAACCCTTGCTATCGTGGAGAACAAGCCTCTCGTTCTCAGGCGAGATGAACTCATGGTCGATGCTGGCCTCGCCTGGCTTATCATGGGCGACGATCTATGGACAGTATGAGTAGCTGTGCTCATTGAAGCATCGCATTTGGCCCACCATTTTTTTCACTTTGAATATGTGGTTGATCAGTGATGACTTGCCGATGCCAGATTATTTGAAAGTACATCATCAAAACTGGCCCGAGACCAGAGAAAGACGGCTGCCAGATACCTTTCCTATCACCAGAATTCGGAACCTTGGGAGCGTCAACCTCAAGGACGGCACTGTATGATCATCCTGACTCACCGAGGACACTTCTGAAATATTTCAGAAGTTGTAGGTCGGAGCTCAAGGTCTCTAGCGGAAGAGGTAGACTGCTCAGTCTGCTAATCCATGACTTAGACAGTTTCGATGCAAGACGGGGATACTTACTTCGATTACTGTATTCCCAGAAAGGTCGACGAAGATACTGATTTTCTTATGAATTTTGTTGTATCCTAGGGATGTGAGATCGAGTTCGTATGATTAAAATGAGAACGCGATAATTCTTGTTGCACCTTGTCTTGCATGACACGCGCGAAACATGTCGTCTGGGTTGAAAGGAATGTCTTGATACTCGGTCTTCATCCCAAGCCACGCCTTGCACCGCAAATATAAGGAGAATGTATCCCTTTGAGAAAGCACCCTACGGCAACAGACACGATGGCGACTCAGGTGAGAACATGTGTTGGGGTCGAGTACTTACGTGGGTTTCGACTTGCTGGAATCGACGGTGATACCTATTGGATATATTCAGTGGGTTTGATGGTACTACTTGACGACAGGAAGTGAGTACCATAAACGTGGAGAGGGCAAGCCATGGGTCAGTGCTTCAGCTGCGAGGTACCCTCGTGTATGCCCAGCTCATGATGGCGCTGCGTGCACCCACACTGTCACAGATGAGTACTAGTATTGATCCCTGACGTAAAACACCTCCTCAACACCCTGCAGTCGTCATTAATTATAAAATGGAAAACATGTATGTCACAAGAACGCCATATGACATACCTGTTGAGTCGACCTGGGAGACTCACTGGGATCAACTTGAAGTTCTCCTGTAAGCGGTTGGAGGATAACTTATTATCATGAAGGACTTGCTGACTGTCTTCCTCGCAATGTATGACTACTAAGTATGGGAGACTTAAACTCATGGCGGCAAGCGCAAAAGCTGACCGGCACATGACCGTGACTGATTTCAAATATGGATCAACAAAACCTGAAATATTCCGCCTCAACGTACACATCCAATATATATCCATACTGCCCATTGCCCATTGAATCTGGCTTCGGGTGGGATATTTGCCGGTTCACACTGCACACTGCAATGATTATAAGGCTACACCAACACTTCTTCGTCACATCTACTAGTACCTTTTCCCATGGACCCTTCAAAGATGGAGAGGGAATTAATTAGTCGCTTGTAAATGGTCGAGGGCGTACCAGATATGTATGTATGGAGGCTTGGAGCGACCATACCATGACTGATTCGAATTGAATGATAGGAGAAGGAAGCACGGTTAGTTAGCGCTCATGCTTCTTCAGAGACCAGCTGTTAGATGCTGCTACCCTCTAGGCATGGACCCTGTGACCCGTGATCGAGATACCAACCACCTCGAAGTATGGCTAGCACTCAGGCGCTTGTACGTTCTCCGCCTTGCCCGCTCTTACGGATCCTTGTGACCCAACACAGATATCCCGTCACTTCCGAATGATCAAAGCCACATCGACTCCTCGTGTATCCCTCAGGCCTCATGTTGTATGCAGCTGCGTAATACGTATACCCATCTAGAATCAGGAGAGATTCGATAAACAACACGCATCGAGCTCTACCGTACCGCATCATTTCTGATATCCTTCAGCATACAGCTGCACTGATCTGCATTTCATTGATCTCGCAAAGTACTTTTGGCTCGTGATTCCCTTGCGGCCCTTGCGACGACATGCAAAATATTCTGCGAGCCTGCAATGGATGCGCTCTGGGATACGGCCATACCGTGTGGCTTACCACCACTGGAACGAACCTACATCGATTCTCAACACTAAAAGGTCAGTGGGGACCATCGCACTGTTCATTATTATATTTCATTAGCTCACCAAGTATCTAAATCCAGTGCACCATGGCCTGTTCAAAAGGGGTCGAATGATTGTTCGTGCGTGAGGCCAAGTTTTTATGAACTGTTACAATACCTCGGCACGTTGGAGGCTCGAGTAAAATCTAGCAGCACTAAGTACATAGAACACAGTAGAGCATAGGTTACATTGTTACGATCGGGTATAGTAAATCCAGTTGTATAGTACAAGCGAGCACTGTCTGTAATCGCGTCAACACTCGAACACCGCCCACGCCCAAACCATCCAAGAAAGAAACAATCGAGTGCTACGACTTCTCGATTTACCATGGTTCGTCTGGTAACAAATAAATATTTGTCTGAAGGTTGGACATTTGTGCTGCAAGTTCGGTGATTTGTGCCCCATCGATCTTGTAAAATTGCATCATCTCTTCGATTTTGTCCAAGGTGTCCTTATCCGCGTGTTCCAAGACAGCCAATCCCCCAACATAATCCTGAATCCGAGTAAGAACCTCTTCGCTTATTGAGGAGGCGGAGTAGGATTTGACTGCGAGCTTGATGGCCCTACGAGTGAGTTCCCGGCTTTCTGACACGATAAAAAGTGTCTGCAACACAAGTGTCAAGTGCATAATGTAGGCCATGAAGCGCTGAAGCACCACGTGACTAACAAAGAAGTGTTGATATCCTTTCGCACACGAAAAAAATAGTGGTGCGTACGACATCTTGTATACATCGCGAACCCATACGACGACCACGGCGCCTGCTGCGATTGGTACTACGATGGGAGCTGCAGGTCCCGCTAATGCGGACACGATGCCCGCAATAGTGCCAACCATGGATAACCCAAATTTCCTGTAAACATTCAATGAGATAAAATTTATCTGTCACACAAAAGACCGGCTTACAAGGTCGTGTTGGGATTAGCTGTAGATCCAGCTTGTGTCTTATCGGTCATTTTCATCATCAAATCCCTGAACTCTTGGCTGCGCAAGTACTATGCGCAGATCATGTTAGCGCGGATGCAACGACGACAAATAAGATAGCCATCACATGATGAGGGTCACGGAAGTTCCACACATCGATGATGTCGTTATGAAGCACGCGTAGACAATCCTGCATCTGGTGTTTTTTGAACATTGGACATGATGAGAGCGCCTTCCAGTATCCTGCAAGACATTGAGATTTAGACTGTATTCAGTGATTATGAACGCGAAACTGGGACAAACTTTGTTTGCCAATCCTGACATTGCGTAAATCACCAGATAAGAATGAGGCAAGCAAGACTTACTTAATTAATGCATCTATTTTGAGTCCAGGATGCACTCGCTGAGCGACGGAGGTCATCACCGCGGCCTCGGGTGCAAGATGCTGATTGACACAACTTTCAGTTATTTCAATCAGATGGGCTGAGCTGTCTCCTCGTAGCCTTTTGCGGCTGCAATATTACACTTCAGAAGCACGCATGAACCTGTCAGAGTATTGGTACACACTGGAGATCGTGGCGTGGGGGATATCAGACCCTGAAAATTCCTCTAGAGGTCCCGATGCAGGTATCCTGCACCTCTGCTTCTGCTGTGCTCTTGACGAGTTCATTCGAAAGCTTCATCGCTCGATTCATCGAGAGAAGCTTCATCTAGAGTTCGCTCCACGCTGTTCGATGAGCTTATCGTATTTAGTAAGGACGACGATAACGGGAACTTGGACAAAGTGTGAGCCCAACGTAGCAAGAAGGTAGTTATCGATTCACTTACCGTTCCCCAGGTTCCATCACGTTTCGATTCAAGAAATCCTCCGTTCCTGTCTCTAGTAGACGTCCGCCTGCATGGGGTATCTGAAAGCAAAGCCTTCCATGTACTTAGGTCAGTCTACCATAACGGAATGGTCGAGATGGAATCCTCACCAAACAGCATGCAGCTGATCTTTCAAATCCGGCATGTTCCTCCGACGTTCGATAAATTTTCGGACTATTGTGAGGTTTTCTACTTCCCCTGGTTCGAAACCTTTGCTATCGTGGAGAACGAACCTGTCGTTCTCAGGTGAGGTGAACTCCTTGTCGATGATAGCCTCGCCTGGCTTATTGTGCTCGATGATCTATTGACAGTATCAGTGTCTATGCTCGTTGAAGTGTCGTTGCTCACTTGTTGTTTGTCTACTCCAAATACGTGGTCGATCAGGGATGACTTCCCAACACCTACCTATTAAAAGCATGTCGTCAACACTGGTCCGAGATCGGAGGAAGTCAGATACCTTTCCCATTACCAGAATTCGGAACCTTGGGAGCGTCAGCCTCAAAGCCAGTGCCTCATGATCACCCTGACTCACCGAGGACACTTCTCAAATATGGCGGAAGTAGTAGGTAGGAGCCCAGAGCTTTGGCCGGAAGAGGCAGCCTGTTCAGCCTGCCAATCTATGACTTAGACGGTTTCGATGCCAGACGTGGATCCTTACTTTAGTTGAGGTATTGCCGGAAAGGTTGACAACGATCCGGATTTTTTTATACAACTTGATGTATTCTACAGATGTGAAGTTGAGTTCGTGTGAGGTGAGAGTGCGACTATTATTATTTTACCTTGTCCACCAGTTGCCAGGAAAATGTCATCTGGATCGAGAGTAATGTCTTTGGTCTTCATCACAAAACGTGCCTTGTACCGCACATGTAAGGAAAATATATCCCCGCGAGAAAACATTCTAAAGCAAACAAGACACCAAAGTAACTCGGGTGAGAATATAAATTAGGGTCGAGTGTTTAAAAGTTACATGGGTGGAGAAAACGTCTCGCATAAACTCTTTCCTTCTGCGCGTTTAATTGGCGAATTGAATTTGCCAATCCGTACTTCAGCAGATTCTCTATTCGTTTTCAACTTGCTAAAATCGACGGTGATACCTGTTGGATAAATTCAGCGGGGTTGATTATAGTACTTGACGACAAGAATTGAGTACCGTAGATGGGGAGAGGGTGAAGAGCATTAGCCATGGGGTCGGACTTGATTTCTGAGGGAAGAGTTCTCCTCCGAGCTAGGTTAACGGCACACCCTGTTGATTATAAACTAGAAAACACGTGGATCACAAGAACGTTGCGATAAGAAAGCTACGCCGGTGCTCTACTACTACGTAAGTCACGAGCTGTTCTGGGGTTAATTACAATTGCCCTGCCTAGCATATTGAACTTTCAAATTTCAACTTCCGCAATCATACTTCGGCTCCCAAATTGCAATAATGGCAAGACCTCGAGAACCTGGTCAGCTCTGAACAGCGGCGGTTAAAAACATCAAGTCAACTTTCTGGCACTCGCTAATTATGATTCGTCTGCACGAAAGGCGTCACCTAAAACTCAATCAACTCAACCTACAACTCAGGGTTGTTCATCACGTATCTCTTTGCTTCGGAATGAGGCCTCACCCCTCATTTAGCGGCCACTAGCTCCAAGTCAGTGCATGCGGCAGCGTGCGCCCTCTGTCGCACCAAACTCCATTCGTCCATGGTCTTCGCTGCCCAACGCATCTCTCCCAGGTACGGAGCATTCAGTACTGCTCGTATCTTATCGGCTGATTTATTGTCGGGTGTTCCAAAACACAAGCCCGTGCTGGTAAACCACCTCATTCTCTTCGCACTTGCAAACAGCAATGCTGACATGGACATGTCGTCCGTTTTTGAAGCTGGACGAGCTTTAACAAAACGTAGAAACATCTCTCCTTCATTTTTTTCGATCTAATTTTGTTCGTGTCTCTTTATCCAGTGTATTAGGGGAGTTCAAAGTTGATTTCGGATGCCGATTTGGACGTGATTTGGACGCTCAACTCAACTTTGAAGTCCCCTATTGTCTTTCTTAGTTACTAGAGAGCGGCAAATTTATTTGCATTGGTAAATTATATTCTGTTCTATCCATATGCTATTTTACGGGATGAGGCTAAACAAGCACTCCGTCATTTTCCCTAGTAGTGCGACCGGGTAAAAGCAGGAAGATAGGAAGGTCTCGGCAGGTCACGCTCTGCCATGGGGTTCGGAAGCAGCGTGAGGTTTCAAGACTTGTAGGCAGCCGCAGCAGGCTTCATGAAATTGGGTTAAGAAATTAGGTGTGGTAGCCTGGACAGACTCGGACGCACGATGGCGCGATAGACTTGACCTTGTACACGAGCATGAAAAACATTATCCAGCAGTACTGCTGGAGGTCTTGCCGTCGTCTGTAAGTGAGATCTATTGAGATAACGCACGTACACTGTTCAGGCCTCAGGACCCTGTAACCCAACACAGATATCCCTGTCGCTTCCGAATGATCAAAACCACATCAACGTTTGACTCCTCGTGTGTTCCTCGTGCCTCATGTTGTATGCAGCTGCGTAATACGTATACCCGTCTAGAATCAGGAGAAACTCGATAAACAACATGCATCGAGCTCTGCCGTACCGCATCGTTTCCGAGATCCTCCAGCACAATCGCACCGATCTGCATGTCAGTGATCCTGGATTTGTTCCGGACCAAAGTTTGTCATCTCCGCAAGGTACTTTTGGCTCGTGATTTCCTTGCGGCGCTTACGACGACATGCAGGATCTCTTGCGAGCCTGCAATGGATATGCTCTGGGCTACAGTCATACTGTGTGAGTTACCACCACTGGAACGAAGCGAATGCGTCGAAATAATATATTCTCAACACTAAAAGGTCAGTAGGAACCATCGCATTGTTCGTTATTTTCTTTCATTAGCTCACCAAATATCTAAATCCAGTGCACCATGACCTGTTCAGAAGGCGTTGAACGTTGAACAATTGAGGCCAAGTTTTTATGGACTACTACAATACCTTGGCACCTTGGAGGCTCGAGTGAAATCTAGCAGTAAGTACATCACGTTAATAGAACACAGTAGAGCATAGGTTGCATTGTTATGATCGGGTATAAATCCAGTTATATAGTACAAGCGAGCACTATCTGCAATCGCGTCAGCACTTAGACACCGCCCACGCGCAGAACCATCCACAAAAGAGACAATCGAACCCTACGACTTCTGAATTTACCATGGCTCGTCCGACGACAAATCTACATGGGAAGTATTTGCCTGAAGATTGGAAATTTGTGCTGCATCGATCTTGTAAAATTGCATCATCTCTTCGATTTTGTCCAACGTATCGCTATCCGCGCGTTCCAGGATCGTCAATTGCTTATCGTAATCCTGAATTTTATTGAGAACTTCTCCGCTTATTGGGGAGGCGAGGTAGGAATTGACCGCGAGCTTGATGGCCCTACGGGTGAGTTCCCGGCTTTCTGACACGATAAAAAGTGTTTGCAACACAAGTGTCAAGTGCATGATGTAGGCCATAAAGCGCTGAAGCACCACGTGGCTAACAAAGAAGTGTCGATATCCCTTCGCTCGCCAAAAAAAAATAGCGGTGCGTACGACATTTTGTACACTTCGTGAACCCATACCACGAGCACGGCACCTACTGCGATTGGTAGTACGATGGGAGCTGCCGGTGCCGCCAAGGCGGACACGATGCCCGCAATAGTGCCAACCATGGATAACCCAAATGTCCTGCAAACATTCAATGAGATAAAATCGATCTAGTCGCGTAAAAGACCGGCCTACAAGGTCTTGGTGGGATCAACTGTAGATCCAGCTTGTATCTTATCGACCATGTTCATCATCAATTCCCTGAACTCTTGGCTGTGCAAGTGCTATGTGCAAATCACGTTAGACGGATGCAACGACGACAAATAAGACAGCCGTCACATGATGAGGGTCACGGAAGTTCCACACATCGACGATGTCAGTGTGAAGCACACGCAGACAATCCTGGATCTGGTAATTCTTGAACTTTGGGCATGATGCAAGCGCCTTCCAATATTCTGCGAGACATGAATATTTAGACTGAATTCAGTGATTATCAACGGGAAACTGGGACAAACTTTGCTTGCCAACACTGACTCTGCGTAAATCACCAGATAAGAATGGAGCGAGCAAGACTCACTTAATTAATGCCTCTGTTTTGAGTCCAGGATGCATTCGCTGAGCGATGGAGGTCATCACTGCGGCCTCCGGCACAAGATGCTCATTGACACAGCTTTCAGTTATTTGGATGAGGTCGGTGAGTGTCTCCGTGTAACCTTTTGCGGCTGCAATATTACACTTCAGAGGCACGCGTGAACCTGTCAGAGTATTGGTACACACTGGAGATCGTGGCGTGGGGGATATCAGACCCTGCCAATTCCTCTAGAGGTCCGATGCAGGTATCCCGCAGCTCTGCTTCTGCTTTGTTCTTCACGAGTTCCTCGATCTCTTCGTCGCTCAATTCATCGAGAGAGGCCTCATCTAGATTTCGTTCCATGCGTTCGATAAGCATGTCGTATTTAGTAAGAACGACGATAACAGGAACTTTGATGAAGTGTGAACCTCAACGTAGCGGAGATATAGTTATCGATTTACTTACCTTTTCCCAGCGTTCCATCACGTTTCGATTCCAGGAATTCCTCTGTTCCCGTCTCCAGCAAACGTCCGCCTGCACGAGGTATCTCAAAGCAAAGCCTTCGATGTATTTGGTCAGTCTACCATAACGGAATGGTCGAGATAGAATCCCCACAAAACAACGTGCAGCTGGTCTTTTAAATCAGGCATTGCGCTCCGACGGCCAATAAAATCTCGGACAATTTTGAGGTTGTCTTGTTCCCCTGGTTCAAAACCCTTGCTGTCGTGGAGAACGAACCTGTCGTTCTGAGATGAGACGAACTCATCGTCGATGCTGGCCTCGCCTGACTTATCATGGGCAACAGACTATTGACAGCATGAGTAGCTGTGCTTGTCGAAGCACTGCGTTTGGCCCACCATTGTGTCCACTCCGAATACATGGTTGATCAGTGACGACTTGCCGACGCCAGTCTATTAAAAGCACGTCGTCAGCAATGGCCTGAGATCGGAGAAAGTCAACTGCAAGATACCTTTCCTATCACCAGAATTCGGAACCTTGGAAGGGTCAACTTCAAGAACAGCACTTTATGATCATCCCGACTCACTGAGGACAGCTCCGAAAGATTTCGGAAGTAGTAGCCAGGAGCGTATGACTTTGGCCAGTAGAGATAGATTGCTCAGACTGCTAATCCACAACTTAGACGGTTTCGATGCCAGACTGTGGATCCTTACTTCAGCTGAGGTATTCCCAGAAAGGGCGACGACAATCGTGATTTCTTCATGCGACTTGATGTATTCTATGGATGTTGAGGTTGAGTGAGTGGGCGAGTGAGGTGAGAGTGCAATCATTATTGTTTTACCTTGTCCCTCGCTTGCACTAGATACGAGAAAAATGACATCTGGGTCAAAAGCAATGTCTTTGGTCTTCATCCCAAAAGATTCCTTGTACCGTATACGTAGGGAAAATGGATCTTCATGGGAAATCACCCTGAGACAAAAAAGACACAGAAGCAACTTAGGTGAGAACATGTGTCGGGGTCGAGAATTTGAACGTTACTACATGGGTAAATCAAACATGTGTCGCAAACTCTTTCCTGCTTCGCGCTCAAGTTCAATTGGCGGATGCTTGCTGGTCCGTACTTCAGCAGATTCTATAGTTTTCGACCAATTGGTGAAATCGACGGTGATGCCTGTTGGATATATTCAGCGGGTTTGATGACACCACATGATGATAAGAATTGAGTTACCAAAGATGCTGCAGCTGGAGACCGTCGAGGCGTGAACAGTATTAGCCATGCTGATTTGATTTAGGGAAGAAGCTACTCTTATGATGTAGAATGGGGGACTATCACCAAATAAACGTGGATGGCATAGGTTGCGATAAGACAGTCTTTGTGAAGACCCGGGCCCGGTGCCCTACGTAAGTTACGAGCTATCCTGGGGTTGATTGATCATACCCAACGCGTAATAATGACAAGACCTCGGAAACCTCGAGCTCGTCAGTTCTGAATCTGAATCTGCCTCTGACTTATCTTGAAGGTTGTACTGCTTGTCCGTTTCGAAACCCTTCGTTGAAGTCATAGTATGATGGAGTTTGTTTGGACATGTTTTTTCTCGTGTCTTGTCTGCGACTCCCTCAATCACATTCCGTCCAATTGCTATCTGCTAAGTTGAATAAGGTAACGGGGCCGAAGTTGTCGTTGTGTTTGTTACGATTTTGGCCTAGTGTTTTGTTATAGGTTCACGAGTATGGTACGATAAGCTAATTTCAAATATGGATCTTATGCTGATTATCAGTCTTGTCTTGTACGCTTCATCCACATACAGCTCATATGATATCAAATACACTGATTCTATATAGGCTGGCTTCGGGTTGGGTAATCGCCGGGTTCACACACTGCAACGATTATAAGGCCACACCAACGCTTCTCCTTCAGTCACATTCACCCTCCCCATGGATCCTTCAAAGATAAAACGGAGAATCGGTCGCTTTCGGATCCTCGTCATAGGGAGAGCCAATGCAGGAAAAACAACCATTCTGCAGAGAGTCTGCAACACGCGGGACCAACCAGAAATATACAACAGCAAGGGGGAAAAGGTGGGCATCACATTGCCAGTAGGAGGAAGGTACTGACCCATCAACATCAGATCGATTTAACGGGATCCAGAGGGGTGAGTTGTGCTCTTAGTCGATGTCATAAATTCACGTGCCCTCAGCGCGGACTGCACGACATTGATGACGAAGTGGTGTTTCCAAGCAACCCGGGCTTCGTTTTTCATGATTCACGGGGTTTCGAGGCAGGCGGCGTATCAGAATTCGACAAGGTCCAGACATTTATCATTGAGCGTTCCAAGGAAATGAAGATAACAAAACGGCTCCACACTATATGGTAATTGCAATCCGTCAATCACAGCATGCGCTATCTAACGGTTTCAACATAGGTTCTGCATCCCAATGGACGAAGCATGTAGGTCGTTCACTGCAGCCGAGAATAAGTTTTTCTCCCAGTGCGACACAGGAAGCAGTAAGTTTTCGCGTCCCACCCTCATCGACATTCGACTTTCGACTGATGCGCAGAATCACAATCCTCAGTACCTGTCATCGTTGTGTTCACAAAGTTCGATGCACTATACGACGTCGCTTACACACAACTGAAAACAGAAGGAAAATCTCGGAAAGACGCTAGAAAACTGGCCGCAAAACGCGCCGAAGAAACATTTGCAAACGGACCGCAACTGAGGTTTCTCAAGGATGTCCGAAAACCTCCACCATGTCACGTATGCCTTCCCAGTAAGCCGGTTTATTGTCAAGTTCCCATACATGATGACCGTTGATCCATCAGATATGGACAAAGATGATGCAAATTCTGGACCACTGATCGAACGCACAGCTGCAACTTTGGATGATGAAGTACTGAAGCGATTGTTCGTCACGACCCAACAGACCAACTTGGAGGTCTGTATGAAATATGCAATTGAAAGGTAACCAACCATGGACTCATTCGCTTGCCGCAACTTGGTGTTAACGACTGATATTGTCCAGAACATTGCGAGAACATCTTGGCTCTGCAGAGACAAGCGCATCTGAAGGTCACGAGAAGATAATAGGAACCTTGGGCGCCTGGTTTCCACATATTTGGGTAAGATTCTTGGAAAATTCAAAGGTTGCTCTCATTTATGTCAAACCTTTACTTACAGGCAGTACGTCTGTCAATCCTCATTCGCGCAAGAGCCATGCTGATCCAAGTCGTTGCCCACCGTTCGCAGGGAGTGAGTGTGTCGATCCTCGTTCGAGCAACAGCCATGCTGATCCAAGTCGTTGCCCACCGTTCGCAGGAAGTGAGTGTGTCGATCCTCGTTCGAGCAACAGCCATGCTGATCCCTCAATAGGACGAGCTTCGCGACGATCACTGTGCGGTGATACAATCCAAGTTACTCTCTGTGGTGTGTCCAATTGGTGCCAGATTGTACACATTTCTCATGTTGGCAATTCGCCAGGCCTGTGGCTTATCGCCCTTGCACAACGTTGTTCAGCTCATTTCCGGTGAATTTTGAGGTTGCGTTGTGGTGAACCTGCTTATTATTGACCGTTTAGCTGCTGTCATTATCTTCGAACACTCTTTCTATATTTTTGACAAGCGGCGCTATCTTCAGGACAAGGGGCAGTCTGATCCCTCTTTTTATGTCGCACTGGAGCAGTACATGTCATCTCCGCATGCAGCTGCTGTCGTGAAGGGTGTGAGCGACCCCGTTCACGCTTATGAACAAGCGGTGGCTGCTTCCGCGATGGAGAAAGAATCTTCGTCCTCTCAGGCGAAGGCGGAGTTAATCAACGCTGTTCTTGAAATCACTTTAAATCATCGCCTGTGTATGTTTCGTCGTCATCCTGTGGCAACAATCCCGCTGATATACTCGTCTTTCAGCAAGACCTTGATATCAGGCAATGCAACGCAATGTAGATGGTGTTCCGAAGTGGATGAGTTATCTCAGCTGTGAATGTGGGCTTCGAGAGGTTTATTGAGGTAGTTTCAGGAGGTGGAACTTTATGACACGGTTGTATGATCACACAATATATGTAGCGCTTTCCTTGGTATGGTGTACAGGTGTTTGAAGCACGTGAGTCACCCTCAGCTGAGAATCCTGAGATGGTGGTGGAATCCACTGGGCTTGATGTACCTCCGAAGCATTCTTTGTCCGATTCAAGTGCATTGAGTTCAGGTATGTTCTACGTACCATGCTGCTTAGCAGCCTATTTCGACTTGCGCCAATATTTTTAAAAGCAATACAGTGTTGTCATTTCAGAGTTACATTTTATATAGATCCATGGAACGTCTCTGTCAACGTCTGTGACACCAGTTGATGGCTAAGACTGAGCTGTTCGCGGGTGATAGCCTTCGAGACTGATGGATTTCAAACAGCGGACGCGCCTCCAAAGTTTTCGTAAGTTCTTCAAGGACAGTGTGCAGATTATCATGTTCCTGGATTACGAAGTCAAAGGTGGAACCCTGGTTTATCTTACGTGCGCTCTGTGCATTCCCGGGGCCTACGATTAGAACTGCACCATTCTCGTTTTCACTAAACAATGAGTGTATCGACCGCATGCATCATACTCTGGAATCTAAATGCATCTTCTCGAGGGACCGAGATGATGCTATCGTGGAACAAAGGAGAAATCGACTTACAAGATGTCTGCCTTATGTCCAAGGACAAATTTTCAGCGTTGGATCTCACTTTATGCCATGGTCTTCAGTGTGACTTGTAGCCTTTTCATGCGTATCTTATCAACGTACGAGAGAGCGCCTAAAGAAGACCATAACAAAACACTCGCGTTTCCTATCAGTCTAACGAGCTGAATCCCGTGAGAGCTTGCTGCGATCGACAGCCGTTATGATAACGTCCGACATCGCCAAACGTCAGCAACCCAGTGTGCAATCTAAGGGATGAACAAAAATCTCGATCTTTCGATGGGGTCGAGTAATACTGACACAAGAAATCGATCAGCTGTTGGCGATCAGCGTATCGATTTGCAGTCGCTCCACTCTAAAATATCCTGTGACTGCCTTCGTATGCCGGACATGGAGGGACGTTCAAGTCTATCTTACGAGGTGAACATGGGAGCAGAGGATGAAAAAGGTGCGTGGCAGAAGACATACCAGCTGTGGGTATCGTCCGAAATAATACACCCCGTCCACGCCACATTCTTTTCCTCTGCTGCTCCCTCCTGTATATCATGCTATAACAGCGGATGCAGCAGGTAAGTATAACACTCCCCTCTGCCTGGCATGCCAATATTCTCAGCCATGGGCGTTGACACATTTGACGAGGAAGACAAGCACGAAGATGCTTGTCGTCGAGCTGATGGCGACGGGTGTTGGCTAAGTGACACGAACTTGTTAAGCCCCATGGTTACTAACTCTTGCGATGAAATTGGGTCCGTTCCACGCGGATGCAGACATTAGCGCGGACCGCTCGTGGTGAAGTCCAGCAGGTGGATGCTGGAAGGGTGAATGTAGGGAGTGCTTGTACCATCCCGTGGACGCGGAGGCATATGTGGATTGTTTGCGCTGTGGGCAGGCTTCCTCCTTGAAGGAGCTGAGATACGATCTGGCAGAGGGGGCCAGATGCAAGGGCCTTGGGATTGGGATTGCCTGGATAGCCGGTTGTCGCTTGTGCTGGAATTTGGGTAATTGATGAATAAACTGGATTTATCGCACAGGTACTATGTAGCGTGCGGATGATGAGCAGGGTTATAAATTCAAGTTAGTGGGTGGATGCAGACGATGATGGAATTCTGGAGCGTACCGGAGATAATTTCAAAGTTAGGCGCTGCCTCTTCGCTGATATAATATCCCTAGATCATAACCAGTCGTATATCGGACTTTGGACTACTACTTACTACTATGATTGAGCCTTGCGGTAAACAGTACTACAAGTGTCGTGAGTTCTCAATGTTGGAACTAGACCAAGGTCTCAGCGGACGTGTAAGACAACGCTGAATTGAATTTACCTAGACCAAGGTCTAGGTCGTACGTTAGCAAAGCTGGATACAAAAGAGTAGTGGTATACGTACCTCAGCGGACGTGTAAGACAACGCTGAGGTATCGCTGCGTACGAGCAAGATATTTAAAGGTAAGCAATAGAAGGTTCAAGACGGAGAGAAGCTGCCGAGAAACATATGGTGCTGAAGCTGACAAGATACGATAAGGATCGGAAAAGGAAAAGAAGACAAAAATGGTCCCGGAGGCTAATCCTCCGGGACTGGTACCATGCGTGTGTGTCCAACTCGTATCGTCCAACGCCCAACTCGTACCATCCAATACTCAATTCGTCCGACCCGTATCGTCCAACACACCCCCTCAGCGAGACACCAGATGAAGGCCGGGCAGATGTTTTTCGAAGAGAGGTCGAGGGAGAGCTTTCGTGAAGATATCCGCGGTGTTCCTGTGAGAGGCGACCCATTTGAGTAGGAATGTTCCTTTCTCAATATGTTCCCGGATGAAATGGTATCGCACGTCAATGTGCTTGGAACGGATGTGATTGCGTGCTTCAGTTGATAATGAGATGGCGCCAGTATTGTCCATGAAGATGACGATGGGGAAAGGAAGATGTACGTGAAGCGAGATGATGAGCGACTTGATCCAGAGGCCTTCTTGTATGACGTGTGTGACCGCCATATATTCGGCCTCTGTGGATGCATCAGTAAACCACTTTGCACTGTGCAGCGCTGTACAGCGCTGTACAGCATGCAAGCGCTACAGCTTGGTCCCAATTAGCCAGTCCATCACAGCGACACCTTGCGCTGTGAATCTCTGTACAGACACCTACAGACCGCCCAGTAATTACGAAAATCTACTTGAATTGCAAATTTTTTCGCTGTCCATCTCTGTACAGACACCCACAGAGCACTCAGAGACCCGGAGCTGTACAGACATTTGCTCGCTGTACTGCTTACACACACTGGACAACACAAAAATTTTAAAACAAAAAAACAAAACCAATATATTGAATCACATGACCACGACAAACAGTAAATACAATGATACGTGCGCCAAACACGATAAATGCTTGATATAAACTGGGGAGCGGGAATACGAAGCTTTTAGTCAAGAAGAATCTGCAGGTGGTCGTGTCTGGCATCAACAACTCCTTCGAGATTCATAGCTGCAGCCCTGTACAAATGAAAATCAGTAAAAAAATTATCAGAGAGAAAAGATCCTCACCATCCCGCTGCAGCCCATTCTCGCAGTTGAGCTGACAGCCTAGGCCCATGATACGCATCCTCAAGGATATGTTTGAGCAATTCGAGCATCCGACAATAGACGGGGCCGTAGTCCTTGGTGGAAAAGTTTGGGTATGACTTCCCATGTCCGTTTTTTACAAGACCGTCGAAGACACAATTGAACTAGTTTCAAGACAGAAAATTAACACATGACATTGGCGAGGGAGACGAAATTACCGCCGCAGCAACCAAAGCCAAACATGAGAGTGGCAATTCCGTGCTAAAGGTCTCCGGCATCCTTCGTGCAATTCGATATGGTCCTGTGTAAAAGAATGTGATGACGGCTTCACGAAGGGCGGGATGAGCGAAGTTTCGTGTTCTCCCCTAGAAATCTTCCATCAGTAGAGTTGCGATCACCACAAGATCACTTACCTGATCGTCCACCCCAAAGCGTAAGAAGAATGCTTCCTTGATCAATTCAGCAGCAGTGTGCTCGACCCAAGCAGCACGTTCCTGAACGGGGACAGAAAGCGGAGGAATAAGCGAATATGATACTGGTGCAATGCTTATGGCTGTTTTCTTCAAGTCAGATCGCCAAGTCGAAAGATCGTCGTACAGCTTTAATACAGACTGTCAACGAGATATTGGCACAAAGTCAGTTATGCACGCACCAACCGAGTCATATTAAATTTGTGTTCTGGCCAAACCCCTGCATCAGAATATGACATATTAGTTCGAGAACGAATGAGAACGAACAAGTGCCTACCAGCTTCAAATTGTTTACCGTTCGTATCCCACACAACCAATACTGCAATGAGAACTTCAGTGATTGTTCCTGGAAGATTCTTCACCAAAGTTAGAAACGGGTTCTCCAGGGCGTGTTGCGCGCGACATTCTACTTTGGCGTCCTCCAAGAAACTTTTCCAGCGTGGTCCGTACCAAGATAATTGATCGGGTGTTGGCCCACCACGCGATGACCTAGACTTTTTGTTTTTCAATGGCTGAACATCACACTCGGACACTTGATTCAGCAGTTCGAGGGATTCAGGATCAGGAAGACGGGGCTTTCCGTTTTTCTTATGATGGCGTTGTAGTACATCGTCAGGCTTCGAGGTGATGGTCTGCTTGATGGTGAGTGTCAATTAAAATGGTCTCCCTGATCTCACCTCAATGTGTTGGGATGCTTGCCGCCGCGGTCCTGGTGAGATATCCGGAGGGTCCTTGAAAGAAAGGCAATGGTAAGCATGATACAATTGAACGATATGGCCATACCTGAGAGCTTTCGTTCCGCTGGATTAACAATATAAAATGAGAGTTACTCCCGGCTTGAGCAGAAAACTTACCGAGGTTTTATCAAGGCTCGTCTGGGCAACTACATCATCTTCATCGCGTGAGTACTGGAACTGAATTTCAGGTGTGAGAGGGCGAGCGACTGGAGATTGCGAAGGTGGTACATCCTCCACAAACCCTATAACATTGAATTAGTGAAGCGAAATCACACGACGAGAATGTGTACCTGGGTGTTCTTTCTGGCGTCGGCCAGCCTCCCCCCAACCAAACTGCTGTGAGCTCTTGACTGTATCATCATTTCCCCCCTCCTCCTCATCATCCTCTCCGCTGTCCTCTTCATCAGCATCTTTATCATTGCTATCATTGCTGTCATCACTGCTACAGTCTTTAGAGTCACTGTCATCAGATTCAAACGACGTCAGACGACGCTGAGCCCTAACAGTGTCATCATGCTGACGTAGGGCTGGATCTAAATTCTCCTCCCGAAAGACGGACCTTGGCAAAACCACTGGATATTCAGAGACAGCGTTCTGGGTATGTCGCTCAGCAATTGCATCCCGAGTTCGCTTCTCAGCGATAGTGTCCCGAGCTCGTTGCTCGGCAATGGCGTCTCGAGCTCGTTGCTCGGCAATGGCGTCTCGAGCTCGTTGCTCGGCAATGGCATCTCGAGCTCGTTGCTCGGCAATGGCGTCCCGAGCGCGCTGCTCAGCGTCCTTCGCCCCAATGGTGACATGCGGGTTGTGCAATGCCTGAATATTGGGCTGGGCAGTACCGGAATGAGCTATTTCTGTTGGAGCAACAAATCCAAACCTTCCACCAGGTTGCTGGGATGTAAAGCTGGGCCCTGTGGCGATAATGTCCTTGGCTGGGGCATCTGGAGCATCCCTAACGAGTGAGCTGTAGGGTGGAGGAACTGCCTACGAAACAATCAATATGAGTAACAGAATTAATTGGACGCCTACCTTTGAATGATTCTTTCGACCTCTACGACGCGGTTCTGGGGCTTGAGGATTGACTGGAACATTGAGACCAAGGGACGTTGTACCCTTACGTTCTTGAGTCCGAGGCTTGGATTGCAATACTGATCCAATCTTCTCCAGTTGTGCATTCCTACCTCCAGTTCCCGCGTTAGGGCGACCAGAACGCCGGGGAGCATTTTGTTCCGCTTCTGCTCCAGTCAGGCCAAGGGACACGAGGGGTACCATGCTGGGTACCTCAGCAATGTCTGCAGCCCGAGACTTCTTTGGCAAGCCGGCCTTTGAAGCATCGGATCCTTTGCGCTTGCCAGATCGTTTCTTCTTAGGACTGGCGATGGCACGAGGAGGCATGACTGTAATGAAGAACAGAGGAAGAAGTGACTCTGATAAATTATCCCAGACTTACGATGATTTTATACCATGGCTCATCCGTGTACTAATACTTAATAGCCGTATGGGTAGCGAGAGAAAAGTTTATCATTAATAAGAATGATAGTAATAAAGAAACATACCACCATGAGGATTGTTACTATCACGTCGTACTCCGAATCGATTCGCATGACTAGCGTGAAAAAACCTTCGTCGTTGGTAATGGTACTCATAAGAGAAATTGCCGATCACGTAAGCAAAAATGCTACACATAACATGAATCGTACCAGAACCTACTAGTAGTGATACTATATCAGATCCTGGCGTACTACTAGTATCTTGATTGTAAAAAGATAAACGCTTGAAAAAAGCTTGAAAAAGAACGATATAGTCAGAACAACAATATCATAGGTACCGGTCAGTGAACTATAGTAAAAACGCAACATACTAATAGTACAAGCCAGTGAGATTCTAGAAATACTACTGCTAAAGTTAAACATGTCATTCATACTAAGTCAGTGAAGAAGAAAAATAGCTGAATATGTGTAATGAGTAGGCTTCACCTCCTGGTCATGCGTCACTGCCCGATGCTGAGTCAGACTCGGTATCACTATGATGAGACTTTTGCCGCTTGGGTGCTACTACAGAGGGAGGGTCTGAAGCAATCCGTTTGCCCTTAACATGTTTCGTGAGAATGGCAGCATCATTCCTGAGCATGTCCACAGCAGATACGAGCTCCTCGTCGTCGGGGAGTTTGTCGAGATGAGAGTTGAGTACAGCGAGAATGGTGTCGAAGGTAACGGGGTGGATCATGTTGTCCACCAGAACTCTACGCCACTCTACTGCGAGGGGGATCAGCTGCTTGAAGTACGGGTGAAATTGGTCTGTGAGACGCTTTTCCTCTCCTGGATAAGCGAAAAAGGTGATCTTGAAGGCTGCGCACGATCCCAGGTCAAGGCTGGTCCAACGATCCACCAACGAATTGGGCAAGCGCTCCTGCACCATACCGTTGGGACCACAAAACTTGATGCAAACCCAAGCGAACACGAAAAAAAGGGACTCCAGGTCATCCGCATAGCCTTGGATGACGTATGATACAGGTAGCGCCAGAGAATCAGAGGATGATTTCGGGGTTTTTGGTTTGTCGACTGAATTGCGTCCCCGAGTCTCTTTCTTCTTCGCCGTCTTCTTCCTCTTCGATTCCAGGTCCGCCTCCTGCTGCAGGACCGCATATTGATTGAGAAGTCCGCGTGACATGAAAGGGACTGTGCCCTGGCAAATCAATTAATGAACTGAATATTTAATGAATAAGGTGTACTTACTGTACCGCCAATAGGATATTTATGATCCGAGGCAATCCGAACGGCAAACTCCCAGTCAATAAGAAACCCTTCACTACCTTCAGGTTCGTCTAGGATCATCGCGTTGTTGAGACTACAGTCCCGATGCAAAATCTGACGTTCCTCCACCGCAGCTTGTTGAACTAACATCAAAGAGTATCAGTCCAAGACACCTGTACCCCAAAGTACTAAAAACTTACTCTTAACGATATCCCTTAGTGCCCGCACAAACTCCTTCAGTGTTCGGAACATGTGAAGGGGGCGACCACATGGCTTCAAGACAAGACGTACATGAGTACGACTAGTGCCCCTGGTACTCCGGCGTTCTTTCTGCCGATATTTTCGGGTAACATCGGGATCACCATCTGACTGTTCAACGACCCAATGATCCACCAGCTTTGGAACGCCAGGGAGGCCATCCATCAATTCCAGCATCTTGATCTCGTTCAAGACTACATTGTCGTCCTTGCCTACAACCCAATGGTCTTTTATTATGTAGTCTTCATCGTCTAAAGTTGCCAAATAGCAAACGGTTCCGCGACCAACAAGACCTCGGCTCGCAAAAATGATTCTTCTTATAGTGTAGACCTTCTGCCCTACACGGATTTTACCGCAAGGTTCAGGTGATTGAGCAGAGTAAGGGAATTGGGAAGGGAGAGGGGTGACAGAATAGATGCTCTCGGTCATCTCAGCCTGGGGCATTTGGGATGCGAGGCTGAGAAGGGGAGCACTACGGGTTGCAGTGGGGTGCACTGGGAGGGAGGGGGGTGGGAAATGCTCTTCGTCCATCGAGTAATGTGTAGCGGAACCGCTCGGACCTTCTTCCGTCGAGTCAGAGTCACTAGAGTCACTAGCGACTACTGATTCAAGGGCATCACTGGACGACACTCCATCAGGATCCTCGGGAAATGGAAGGGAGGAAGTGGATACGGCAACAGTACAGTCCGTCGTACTTGGTCGGGCAGGAGCGTTTCTAATGGGACGATAGCAGTTGATATCTTTGAATCGGGGTGGTGAAACAATCTTTGAGAATGAGACTGTCGGATCATAGCCGACGCACTCTAGACTCCCGAAATTGATGGCAGCGATTATATGTGAAAATATGTCCGGTTGTTGGTAAATATCGAAGCGAGGAGACACGGCGCCACCAGAGTGATCATACATTAGGACTCTAAGGTGGCGATATTCATCTGTGAATGATAATATGAGAGCAAAGCGCCTCCATGGCTGTTCACTCATCATAATATAGGCATGAGTATCTGCAGCCTTCCCGAGTCGCATCGCAGGCTGGTATCGACTGTGAGTGAGTTCGGCTGATACCCTGATGTTCCCCCACTTTGCCGATATATCGTCAGATAGAATGAGATCTGGCTTGCGCTTGATGTCGCTGCCAGGTAATGCCTTCTGTGCACTGGCTGCGCTCCATGTGCTGGTTGCAAAGCGCATTTCTACTAGTTTGGGCTGCGACGCTGCCAAGCAGCCAGCCAGAGCATTGAGAAACGCAGCAAAGATTTCTTCGTGAGTTGCTTTCTGCATATCATCACCCTCTGACTCGCCCTCTGACTCGCCCTCTGACTCGCCCTCTGACTCGCCTTCTGACTCGCCCTCTGAGTCTGCGCCCGAACGACTACTACTGGCATTTTTAGGAGGGTCAACTGGAAGGGCCCAGTTCCAAGCCTTCGCTTCAGTATCGTACAGTGGCACAAGAGTATCGGGCGATGTCCCGCTGAATTTCTCGTTGATGCGTTGGTTGCGATAAAGGATTTTTCCGAATGGGATTTTAAGGCTGAATACATCGGGAAGAGGAACCGTGAAAGACTGAAATATTTTGGAGAGCAGGTGTCCCAGCGGTTGCGAGGCCTTTGGTGAACCCTCGTGAGTGACCAGACGATTGAGCTCGTCAGAGGTGATCTTGTTCATAGTATGGACGTCGGTGACATCGGGGATAGACAACAACGATGACAATTTGATTCCGTTGTCAACGGTCCTGAAAAAGAACGCCATTTTTTCATACACGGACAATAATGGCACAAAGAACGAGAGCTTATCGCCACATAATAGCGCCCATCAAAACTCAGTACTCAGTTCGGTGATCTAAGAATAAAACAGACTAGAATAACTTCTGGCATAGGCTAGATAAGACCACTCAACCATCACGAACGTCGCACGGAAGCTACACCAAAAGCTACATGGAAAGGGGAAAATATACATTCTTATCCCAATACCTGTTGAGCCAGAACTGAGAAGCATGTTCCATGCTATTATATGGGGTGAGACGGTTGTCCGCACTTGCACCGAAGCGAGGGACAAGGTTAACAGGTGCTCTGAGCTGTGTCACAGGTATGACATCGCCCACCCAAGTGCCATTCGAACGCTTCGCTCGTTTGAGCAAGTGGAGCTGCGTACTTGGCTCACGATCATCAGCACCGGAGCTTTGAGGAACAATGTCAAAGCGATGCACGTAAACCAGAAAGTGGTCCTTCCATGACCAATTCGTGCCACTTTTTCCAACAGCACGCATGATAAGCCTGATTTGGCCAATCGTATGACCTGCGACTTGACAATAAGTAGAGATTCAGCATGACATAAGATCATAACGTACCACGAAGACCATCTTCTGGCCATAAGTACCTCGCCTCATTGTTAATGATGACTGTGTCATACCGGCCACATGTCCAGGGATCAGAAGGAGGTGCACAATTGAGGGTCTGCGCAGGCCGTATGATGCTAGCATCATGGAAATCGGTGTCCTGCACCCGAAGTTTAAACCAGACTTGAAGTTTGTCGAAGGGAAGTGAAGCAGTAGGTCCAGCTCTTCTAGCCCCCCCAATAGTATGTATGTGATCCCTCCCATGAGTAGCCTCATGACGAAGAAAGTCGGCAATAGCTGGTCATAAGTCAGGAAGACCAAACTTGATGGCAGCATCGTCAACAGATATGTTTCTGATAGAAGGATCGTAGGTGAGGTGAAACGCTGTGCGTTCGACAACGAACGAGCGCACTGGCACAGGGACTGTCCCCACTTCCCTGTGCTGGAGGACCTTGGCAATTCCGAAGTAATTTGTGATTGGACGCGAATGTCCAGGGTGTTTCATTGTCGTAAGAAGGTCTGCTGGGATATCGCGATCGTCGTCCACATCGAAATCAACATTCTCATCCTTCTCATCGTCATCTGGATCCTGCTGCCCTGAGTCTGGGACATTGTCGAGCAGACTCATAGCGAGGTCAAAGCGGCGGCATTTATCAGCACGGTCAAGATGGCGACATATCTGGGGATCGTAATTATTATTATTGCTCGAGCGAGCAGGACTTTTGATTTCCGTTATGTGGGCATGCTCCGTGGTATCGGCTGTCCATTGCAGAGGAACTCCAGTGTTCCTTATGCTTGGAACTATGGACTGCATAAGCTCAAGCTTCGGTATGTACCAGTTCTCGATAATGCCGCCACGCTGACCACGACGAAATCCACCCTCTATAATAGCATCTTTGTTAGCGTGAAAATGATCAAGTGCAGTGGAAATTCGGGCGAGTAGGATGTCGTCAATTACGGGTGACTGTACGAGATATCGAAAGTCCATCAGAGCTCGTACAGCAGTCATCACTGCGCTAGGAATTGCATCCGCACTGACTGCAACGATCGAGCGTTGAATGTCGCGTTGAGTACGTCCTGTAACCTGTTTGAGTTTTGAAATCCCGCCATGAAAATGACGGAACCCAGTGACAGCCTGCAACACAGAGAACCGAAAGTCAATCTCTGTATCACCTACTGCGCAAATAAGCCACTTTGCGTCGTGGTCGTAGAACTCGCGATGAATGAGGTGAAGAAATTCGGGAGTGAGAAAATGTGATGGATCACTGAGGACCCAATCCATCCAGAATGGTGCGTTCACGCCATTCAAACGAAACTTCTGTGCTTCGCGAAAAAATATCTCGATGTCGTTGGGATCAGCTTTACTCCGCGCAATGTCCAGCTGGGAGAGTGTAGTTGCTCGTGTGCGAGGCTCATGACGGAAAGGGTCTCCAAACTGTTTGTACATGGCCGTAGTGACTGGGGAGGTTTTCCCGCCAACAGCAGCCAGCATCATGGCCTCCGGGGTATCGACAATGTAGCTCGCAAGTGGTGTAAAACAGTAGCGACTGTGTCCAACAGGGTCCGATAGCATGACTCCTTCGCGAGCAGCCAGCTTGAGTGGACGGAGAACAATATCTAAGCATTCGTGAATGAGGCGATCCTCAAGTACGCCTCGCATGCGTTTTTTCTTGTAGATGAATTTTGGGACGGGAAGTAGAGCGGTAAGCACAAAGGCATTCGAAGACGACTTGAGTCGCGTGGACATGCCTATGTTGGCAAGACTAATCAGAAGGGGGTGTGCAACTCTGTCACCCGTCATGGTTGATATATTCGTCTTGTCAGACGATAAGATGGTCCCCAGGAGTGTTGCACCTCTTGGTAGGGCCGACTGTCCGAAAATCGATAAGTACGACGACTCGCACAGATGAAACTATACGTACCTGCATATTCCACGCATCATCACTAGTCATCCACTCTGAATATACACGGCACAGCCGCTGCGCAGTGCTATACACCCTGCGAGGCGTAAAGTCTAGATGATCGTGAAAGGCAGGGTGGTTGAGAAGGCCCGAAATACAATCTAAGGGATCACGCCAATACAAGACAACGGGCGATTTCGTGGGATGTGCTGTAGGTACTACTTGAGACATCCAGCGCGGGCCACTAGGCAACATTTCCGCTCTGCCACGCAGCTCCTTGGCCGAATGGAACGACAACGGAAGGGTCTTTATCTAAAGAAGACACCTTCAAAAATTGTATGTTATCAAAAAGAATTTATTACTCACCATGTCGAGCGAAAGAAAACTGTCTATCTTCCCCATGCTTAATCCAGAGCGAAGTAGCCATGACCCAACTTCCCAGTCTTTCTGGCCACTGAATGGATAATACGGGTTCATTGCACGGTGCCTGCTGTTCTCGTCTGAATTGAATACGTCGAGGAACGTGTAGCCCCTGCCGTATGATCGAGCGCAGTCAGGATACGAGTCGATGACTTCTGAGTTACGAGTTGGTGTCCTCTCTTCGTAAGCCTGGCGCTCACTACTACTCCCTCCAAACATCTCATCCCAATCTCCAAAACCACCAGTCTCAATGTCGGGAATAGTATGTGGTCCGTCGTCCATAGTATTAGTACTCACAGGTTCATCGTCCATATCAGACTCAGAGCGCGAGCATATCAAATCCTGCAGCCATGTACTGCAGCCAGAGCGAGGTTGGCTCATGTGCCGAGCAACGGCTACATCATCCTTGAAACCACCTTTCCCGCACGAAGGACACTGGAATGTCATATGTAGTACAATCGATGCGTGAGATTCCGAGAAAGCTGTAAGTAATCCCTTGCGGAATCAATAAGCCATATTCTCAAAACACCCATGTCCAACGTACCAATCCACCTAAATATTTCTAGTGACGTACCATCATTGTCAAATATGCGCCCGCAAAACTCCAATAAGTGGCAAGCGAGCCGAACTTCTAGTGAGCCTCCCAGTAGCGGAATCGCTGACTTGTACGACGTGGTCAATGCTATTGGGTCAATGGTAAGTGACTGATATCTGACTCTTACTAGGCACTGCTCGTTAACGTGTGTACAGACCATCAATGACGTTGACGACTGTGAAGCCAACCTGATCATGGATCTCGCAAGGGCCCGACGCGATATAGTTAATGCGGAGAAAAAACTTGCTGATTGCATCGTGCGAGAGCAAGAGGTCATGACCAGTCTTTCAAGATACAAGTCTGTCATTTCCAAGCGGAAGCTTGACAAGGCCGATGTAGGACTAGGCCATATGCGTGTCACATTCAAAAAACACGGTCTTTCACATCAGCCAGCACACGGTTCTCTTGGTAAGTACTCTTATTATGTATACACTACCAACTAACCTCGTCATAGACTCATTCGCATCCTGCCGTCAGCTAACGATCCAGTTGGACTGATGCCTCGTCCCTTCTTTCAAATTGTGTCAAATAGTTTGTATTTAGCAGTACTGGTACTAGGCTAGTAGTATAGTAAATATGGACATAAAATTTTGTTCCATCTCGACGCTTGAATTGTGTGACTTCTAGTACGAAATGTTTGATCCCGCGGAACCAATTCATGTAGGTGAGGAGAAGACAACGGCGAGCGTAGTATACAGACTGTTATTGTAATTGATTGTAAAACAGCTGCAACATCCTAAGGCGACTGGTCCGCTTGTTAAATTTTAATTTTACTAAGTACTTTCAGGTACTACTACTACTAGCGCTCGAGGTAGCTATTTTATTGACAAACACTGTGAGGCTGTACATCCTGTGAGCTCTGTCTCTCTGTGGGTTACTGTTGAAAAAAATTCAATGCCCGGGAGAAATGTGCTGTGAGTGCTGTCCTGCTGTGGGTTACTGTAGGTTACTGTCGAAAAAATTTGATGCCCCGGAGAAATGTGCTGTGAGCGCTGTCCCTCTGTGGGTTACTGTGGGAAACTGTCAAAAATGTCGATGTCTGTGGGGAAATTTGTAGTTTACAGATGTGAGAGAGCATGAGTCGTCTGTTTCTTTGAGACGTGGGCTATGATGCCCCCGCCATAGTACCATACGTAGCCCGAGATTGACAACTGGTCAGAGGGTGAGCTAGCCCAATCAGCGTCACAGTACGCGTGCAGTTCATCGTTTGCGCCGGCACCCCCATACTGTAGGCGAAGGTTGATAGTACCAGATAGATAGCGAAGTAGTCGTTTCGCAGCTGCATAATGTGCTGGGAGAGGGCTTGAGTTGTGTTGTGCAAGGGAGTTGACGGCGTATGAGATATCTGGACGGGTACAAATGGCGAGATACAATAGTTCACCGACGAGCTTGCGAAAGAGGGTGGGGAGATTGGGGATTGTGTCATGGACGGCGTCTGGTCTGCCGAATGGATGATGTGGGTCAAGAGGGAGACGGACTGGGTTACATTCAAGGAGGTCGTATTCTTCCAGTAGGTAGGTGATATACTCGCTTTGATGCATCCACAGCTGGCGCGTGTTACGGTTTCGTTCGAATTGGATACTGATGAACTTGGTGACTGGTCCCATGTCTTTGATGCCAAAACACTGATGGATCTTCTGTTTGACCCAGGTTAAGAAAGCCGGCGAATTAGACGTTCCCATCCCGTCGTCGACGTGGAACCCAATAATGCAGAGTATACGGGTGCCGGAGGTGCTGCTGTCGAAAAGGAACACTGCGTAGTCGACGGGACACCGAGTGAAACCCAACTCATCCATCACCTCCCTCACCTGCTCGTACCATTCCATGGCGGACTGCTTCAATCCGTAGATTGTGCGAAGCATCCGCCAGACCTGTACCCTCCAATCTCCATGTTCGAACCCCTTGGGTTGACGCATGTAGATCTCCTCTTTAAGTACTCCCCAGAGGAAAGCGCGCGTGGCGTCGAAGGAGTGAAGTTCCCAGTCATGCTTGCACGCCAGAGCTGCAATGAGTCGTAAGGATGCTGTCTTTAGTACTGGTGCAAAGGTTGCGCCGTAGTCTATGCCTGGAATTTGAGAGAATCCTTGGGCGACAAGACGCGCCTTGTAAATAGACCCGCCCTTATTGTCCTCTTTAAACTCTAAGACCCAACGGTTGCCGATTGCCTTGCGACCTTCTGGGATGGTCGCGATCTTGTAGACGTGCATCTCCTCCATTATTTGTAGCTCCTTTTTCATGGCGGTAAGCCATTCATTACGGTCAGGGCGCAGCATGGCTTCTTCGTACGTTGCGGGAGGGATTGACATGTCGTAGTTGCAGTCGTTGGGATTTCTTCTTCGGTCACTTCGGATGGAGATGTGCGCGTGCTCCTCGATCATCACGTTAGCAAATGCCTCGGGGACGTCTATGTTCGGCTCAATTTCCTCCAAGTTCACCTTCTCATCTGCTTCTTCTCCTTCAGCAACCACCCCCTCATTCGACGGAACAGGCACTTGAGCACGGGCGGCGCGAGACTCTCGTAGAGTTTGAAGGCGTTTCTTGGTGGCGTTCATTTCAGCCTCCCAGGCCTGGCCGCCTGCAGTAGATACTTTAGTCCGAGTAGAACGTCGAATGGTAGAGACGATGAGAGGAGATTTGGGAGCTGTGGTGACTTGTGGAGGAGAAGGGACAGCGTGAGGAACGGAAGAAGGAGTGAGAGGTAGCGCATCATCTGAGTCTGAATCGTCGTCCGAACGGGGCGCAGAAGGCAGGCGTTCATCAAAAATGATGTCGCGTGCGACAAAGAAGGCGCCGGTGACCTGATCACGCAGGCGATAACCTTTGGTACCTTCAGGGTACCCGAGGAAGATAGCCGGTCGGGAGTGCGGGCCGAGTTTGACCTGGAGTTCAGCAGGTATTCTAGCGAAGCAACGAGACCCGAATACCCGGATATGTGAAAGGTCAGGCTTCCTGCCATTTACCAGCTCGAAGGGTGTGACATTGAGTGGGAGAGCGCGTGAGGTACTCCTGTTCCATAGGTAACAGACTGTTAATGCGGCTTCGCCCCAGAGATTGGCAGGCAACTTGGCGGCCTCTAACATCGCGAAAAGACGCCCTCCTATAGTCCGAATCGCACGCTCAGCTTTTCCATTTTGTTGATGTGCGTATGGCACGGAGAGTTGACGCTCTATCCCGGCATCCTGAAGAGCCTTAGAGAATGCACTACTCACAAATTCCCCCCCATTGTCAGACCGAAAGGCCTTAACCGTTCGCCCAGAGTGATTCTCCCAGCGTTTCCTGATAATCTCCCAGGCATCCAAAGCTTGGTCCTTCGTAGCGAGGAGTTGCAGGTTAAGCAAATTGGTGTGATCATCTAGAAATATGATGAAATGGAGTTTACCATGGGGCGTCGTGACAGGAAAGGGACCGCAAAGATCGGAATGAATAAGGTCGAGCATATGAGCTGTGCGAGGGCTGTCAGAAGAAGGAAATGGCTTTCGTGGGTGTTTGGCGATGACACACGATTCACATTGCTGAAGGGGAACCGTGGACTCTATGGTAATGCCGGTGGCAGCACGAGAGAGGTGTTTGATCATGTCACCCCCTGGGTGACCCAAACGGGCGTGCCATAAGTCGAGCGACAAGGGAACACGAGCGAATGCTGAGATCTCACGAGGTGCGTGATGAGGTGAAGGTGCGGGACTATTGGGACGAATGAATTTAAGATCAATGAAGAATAGGTTCCCTATCATTGGAACTTCTCCCAGAACTTCGCCGTGATACTTAAGTTGACACCGAGCCGGCGAATGTTCGAAGTTACAAGACCACTTCTTCTTGAGCATGTGACCGATGGAGAGCAAGTTGATCATCGCCCCGGGAGCATGAAGACAATCAGTGAATGTGATGCGGAAGGTCTTCCCACCCAGTGACATTTCTGCAACGCAATCGCCGCGTCCCGAAGTGGGCAAACTGCCGTGGTTGGCGGTTTTGACCGTCACGCGTGAACTCTCCGTATAAGTCCAGAAGAAACTGCGATCTGCAATGAGGTTCGACGTCGTTCCTGAGTCTAATATGGTGGATAGGGAGCTGCGCACTATGCAGGCCATGTCCTCAAAGCTGGGGTAAGACTCAGAAGGAAGTTCCTCAATGACGGCACAGCTGAGGTTGCGAGGCTCATCAGTGCTCGAGGAGGACATAGTAGGCGAAGTGGATGTAGGATCTGTGCTACTGGTGGTCGCAGCAGCGACCTCCGGTTTCTTTGCCGGTCTCTTGTCGCGAGCCCTTGTGAGAAAGTTGCCTCCCTGCCCTTCCATTCCCCCGCCTGGCTGAAAGCAATGTTCACGGTCATGTGTTAAGGACCGTGGCAGCCCAGAACATGCCGGGTTGTCGCAGCTGACGCCCTTGGGATTCGACTTATGGATTCGGATGCCTGTCTTAGAATTTGCCTTCCCATCAGGAGGTCGAGAGAACGACATAGCGTTAGCATACTCTGATCCTGGTCCGGCGAGCTTCTGCTCTCCTCGGAGGCGATTGGCCTCCTCGGAGAGTGAAGAGACGATTGCCGCGAAGGTCATCTTGGTGACTGTGGTCATGGTGGAAGAAGAAGATGCAGTGGGGACGGATGATGAGCTATAAAGGTTCATTGTCATGCGTTTAAATATAATCCACTCGGGAGTGGGAGGGAGACCGTGCAGCAATAGGAATACCATCTCATCTTCTGTGACTATGACTCCCATCTCAGCAAAGCGACGTCTTGCGTTCTCAAATGTACTGATGTAACGAGACGTGTCGTCGACGTCTTTGAGTTTTTCCGCGAATAGCTGAGCACGGAGTTCAAACTGAGATGTTACGTCGAGACGTGCGTAATGCGTAGCGAGAGTGGTCCATTGCGCCCTGGCCGTCCAGTCCTCGCTCAAGAGACCTTGGACAACCGCTGACAACTTCCTGCAAATGATACCTTTGGCTTGTGCATCGTTTTTGATCCATTCGATTATGGTTAATTTCTCGGCGGCAGTGGGAGACCCAGGGACAGCAGGTGAAGGCATGACCACGGCGAATTCGGCGTAGTTGTTAGGATCGGTGCCGGAACTGCAGTGGTTCCATAGCCCATCTGCCTGGAGAGCCAGAGTGACTGCTCGACGCCAAGCTGGGTATTCATCTGCGCCGGTAAGCTCGATGATGTGGTCGTACTTTCCCATAGTAATGAGGAAGTTGGGACACGAAGAGAATGATTGGATTGGGGAGCGTTTCACTGGTTCGTTTCGTGAGGAGGGGGGACTGTTTCCTGGTATGGGGTTATATCAAAACCCAGGGCTCATAACCTGTTGGAACTAGACCAAGGTCTCAGCGGACGTGTAAGACAACGCTGAATTGAATTTACCTAGACCAAGGTCTAGGTCGTACGTTAGCAAAGCTGGATACAAAAGAGTAGTGGTATACGTACCTCAGCGGACGTGTAAGACAACGCTGAGGTATCGCTGCGTACGAGCAAGATATTTAAAGGTAAGCAATAGAAGGTTCAAGACGGAGAGAAGCTGCCGAGAAACATATGGTGCTGAAGCTGACAAGATACGATAAGGATCGGAAAAGGAAAAGAAGACAAAAATGGTCCCGGAGGCTAATCCTCCGGGACTGGTACCATGCGTGTGTGTCCGACTCGTATCGTCCAACGCCCAACTCGTACCATCCAATACTCAATTCGTCCGACCCGTATCGTCCAACACTCAAGTCAGGCTGCATACCTAGTAACTCACAATGTTACAAGTATGTACTGCGAAATGGGATGACGGTGATCATTGATCAGTGATGGAGTATTGGACGACCATCTATATAGCCTATATGCATATGAATGAGCTCGGTGCATGTGCATGAATAGTTGAATATTGAATGAAATTAATTATGGTGGCGTTCAACGTTGAAACGTCAAAAGTGTGCCTGTGTGGGGCTCGAGGGTGTATAGAGGCTTGAAGCGATCAATCGTTCACACCTGAATCGAATGATGCACGGTTAGTTAGCGCTGGATGCCCTCTGGGCTACGACAGCGGCCCCCGTGTGGCTTACCACCACTGGAACGAACCTACATCGGTCCTCAACACTAAAAAGTCAGTGGGGACCATCGCACTGTTCATTGTTTTCTCTCATTAGCTCACCAAGTATCTAAATCCAGTGCACCACGACCTGTTCAGAAGGCGTCGAACGATTGCCTTGGCACCTTGGAGGGCTCAAGTCAAATCTAGAAGTACATGATGTTGATAGAACGTAGGTTACGTTGTCATGATCGGCCATAAGTCCAGTGGTATAGTACAAGCGAGCACTGTCTGTAATCGCGTCAACACTCAGATACCGTCCACGCCCAAAACCATCCAGGAAAGAAACAATCGAGCGCTACGACTTCTCAATTTACCATGGCTCGTCTGGTAACAAATCTACATCGGGGATTTTTGCCTCAAGCTCGGACACTTGTGCCGCATCCATCTCGTAAAATTGCATCATCTCTTCGATTTTATCCAAGATATCCTTATCCGCGTGTGCCAAGATAGCCAATCCCTGGACATAATCCTGAATCCGAGTAAGAACCTCTTCCTTTATTGGGGAGGCGAGGTAAGATTTGACCGCGAGTTTGATGGCCCTACGAGTGAGTACCCGGCTTTTTGACACGAAAAAAAGTGTCTGCAACACAAGCGTCAAGTGCATGATGTAGGCCATCAAGCGCTGAAGCACCACGTCGCTGAAAAAGAAGTGTCGATGTCCTTTCGCACGCGAGAAAAATAGTGGTGCGTACGATATCTGGTATACCTCATAAACCCATTGTGCGACGAATACGGCGACTGCTGCGATTGGTACTACGATGGGAGCCGCAGGTCCCGATAAGGCGCCCAGCATGCTCACAATAGGGCCGGACATGGACGACCCAAATGTCCTGTAAATATTCAATGAGATACAATTTATCTGACACGTAAAAGACCAGCCTACATGGACGTGGTGGTGGATTCAGCTTGTATGTTATCGACCATTGTCATCATCAAATCCCTGAACTGTTGGCTGCGCAAGTACTACGCACAAATCACGTTAGGGCGGATGCAACGACGACAAATAAGATAGACATCACCTTATGAGGATCACGGAAGTTCCACACGTCGACAATGTCGTTATGAAGCACACGCAGACAATCCTTCATCTGGTTGTTCTTGAACGTTGGGCATGACATGAGCGCATTCCAATATCCTTCAAGACACGAAGATTTAGACTGTATTCAGTGATTATGAACGCGAAAGTGGGACAAACTTTGTTTGCCAATCCTGAGATTGCGTAAATCACCAGATAAGAATGAGGCAAGCGAGACTCACTTAATCAATGCCTTTATTTTGAGTCCAGGATGCACTCGCTGAGCGACGGAGGTCATCACCGCGGCATCGGGCTCAAGATGCAAATTGACACAGGTTTCAGTTTTTTGGATCAGGCCGGTGAGTGTCTCCTTGTAGCCTTTTGCGGCTGCAATATTACACTTCAGAGGCACGCATGGACCTGTCAGGGTATTGGTACATACTGGAGATCGTGGCATGGGGAATATCAGACCCTGTGAATTCCTCGAGAGGTCCGATGCAGGTGTTCTGCACCTCTGTTTCTGCTCCTTCCTTGACGAGTTCTTGGATAGCTTTTTCGCTCAATCCATCGAGAGAGGCTTCATTTAGAGTTCGCTCCACGCGATCGACGAGTATATCATATTTAGTAAGGACGACGATAACGGGGACTTTGACAAAGTGTGAGCCCCGACGTAGCAGAGAGATAGTTATCGATTCACTTACCGTTTCCCAAGGTTCCTTCAAGTTTCGATTTCAGGAAATCCTCCGTTCCTGTCTCCAGCAAACGTCCGCCCGCACGGGGTATCTGAATACAAAGCCTTCCATGTATTTGGTCAGTCTACCATAACGGAATGGTCGAGATAGAATCCCCACCAAACAGCATGCAGCTGATCCTTCAAATCTGGCATGTTCTTTCGACGTTCCATAAAATCTTGGACTATTTTGAGGTTTTTTTCTTCCCCTGGTTCGAAACCTTTGCTATCGTGGAGAACGAACCTGTCGTTCTCACGCGAGGTGAACTCATCGTCGATGCAAGCCTCGCCTGGCCTATCGTGCTCAACGATCTATTGACAGTATGAGCAACTATGCTTCTTGAAGCGTCACGTTCAGCTCACTGTTTTGCTCACTGTTCGTTCGCCTACTCCAAATACGTGGTCGATGAGTGATGACTTGCCAACACCTGTCTATTAAAAGCACGTCGTCAACACTGGCTCGAGATCGGAAAAAGTCAGATACCTTTCCTATTACCAGAATTCGGAACCTTGGGAGCGTCAGCCTCAAGGACGGCACTTCATGATCATCCTGACTCACTGAGGACACCTCTCAAATATGTCGGAAGTGGTAGGTGAGAGCCCAGAGCTTTGGCCGGAAGAGGCAGCCTGCTAATCTACGACTTAGATGGTTTCGATGCCAGACGTGGATCCTTACTTTAGTTGAAGTATTCTCGGAAAAGTCGACGACGATCCGGATTTTTTTATACCACTTGATGTATTCTACAGGTGTGAAGTTGAGTTTGTGTGAGGTGAGAGTGTGATTCTTGTTTCACCTCGTTGACTTGCACCATACGCACGGAATATCTCATCTGTGTCGAAAGTAACGTCTTTATGATGCTTGGTTCTCAGAAAATGATTCTTGTGCCGCATATGTAAGGAAAATAATTCGTCGCGAGAAAACACCCTACGGCGACACGGAAGCAACTCAGATGAGAACATGTGTTGGGGTCGAGTACTCACTTGGGTAAAGAAAATGTGTGTCGCAAACTCCTTCCTTCGGGCTCTTCGCGTTTAAGTTCGATTGGCGAATGTGATTTGCCGATCCTTACTTCAGCAGACTCTATATTCGTTTTCGACTTGCTGATATCGACGGTGATACCTATTGGATATATTCAACAGGGTGAATGATAGACAAGAATTGAGTACCATAGATGTGGAGAGTGTCAAGAGCATTAGCCATGACGATTTGATCTAGTGAAGAGTTCTCCTCTGAGGTACTTTATTTTGAATGGGGACCTGATTATAGAATAGAGAAGACATGGGGATTACAAGAGCGGGGCGTCTGATAAGAAAACACGTGGATCCGGAATGGTGTGATAAGAAAGACCCGGTGCTCTGCTACAAGCGTTAATTGTGTACTTTCAACTTCCGCGAACATACAAATCCAATTGCAAGTAATGACAAGACCCTCGTCAGAGTAGCAACAGCGGCGATTAAAAACATCCAGTCAACTTTCTGGCACTCGCCAACACCAGAAATGAGCTTTAACAAAACGTAGAAACATCTCCTTGTGCCTCTTTATCCTGTGTGTTGTCTTTCTTAGTTACTAGAGAGCGACAAATTTATTTGTATTTCCAAGTCGTTGCCCACCTTTTGTAAGTCGTGAGTGTGTTGATCCTCGTTCGAGCAACACCCATGCTGATCCATCTCGTTGCCCACCGTTCGCAGTATGTGAGTATGTCGATTCTCGTTCGAGCAACAGCCATGCTGGTCCGAGTCGTTGCCCACCGTTCGCAGGTTGTGAGTGTGTCGATCCTCTTTCGAGCAAGACCCATGCTGATCCAAGTCGTTTTCCACCGTTCGCAGGATGTGAGTGTGTCTATCATCGTTCGAGCAAGAGCTATGCTGATCTATGTCGTTGCCCACCGTTTGCAGTCTGTGAGTGTGTCGATCCTTGTTCGAGCAACAGCCATGCTGATTCATGTCGTTGCCCACTGTTCGCAGGGCGTGAGTTTGTCGATCCTCTTTCGAGCAACAGCCATGCTGGTCCATCAATAGGAACCGCTTCACAACGATCTCCGTGTAGAGATACGGTCCAAGTTACCCTCTGTGATATGTCAAATTGGTCACGGATTGTACACATGTCTCATGTTGCAAATCTGCCAGGCATCTTGCTCATCACCCTTGGAGGACATTGTTCAGGTCATTTCCGGTGAATTTTGAGCCCGCATTGCGATGAACCTGCTTATTATTGACCGTTCAGCTGTTGTCATTGTCTTCGAACACTCTTTCTATATTTTCAACAATCAGCGTCACTACTGGAACTCTGATCCCTCTTTTTATCTCGCACTGGAGCAGTACATCTCATCTCCGCATGCAGGTGCTGTCATGAAAGCTGTGAGCGATGCCGTTTACGCTTATGAAAAAGCGGTGGCTACTTCTGGGAAAGAGAAAGAATCTTCGTGCTCTTCGGTGAATGCGCAGTTAATCAACGCTGTTCTTGAAATCACTTTAAATCATCGCCTGTGTATGTTTCGTCGTCATCCTGTGGCAACAATCCCGCTGATCTGCTTGTCTTTCAGCAAGACCTTAATGTTAGGCAATGCAACGCAACGTAGATGGTGTTCCGAAGTGGAGCTGAGGTGTCTTAGCAGTGAATGTGGGCTTCTGGAGAGGTCTATTGAGGTAGTTTCAGCAAATGGAACTGTACAAAATGGTTCACACAATATAGCGCTTTTCCCTGTATGGTGTACCGGTGTTTGAAGCATGTGAGTCGCACTCAGCTGAGATGGTGGTGGAATCTACTGGGCTTGATGTACCCCTGAAGCATTCTTTGTCCGATTCAAGTGCATTGAGGTCGGGTATGTTCTACGTACCATTTTGCTCCGCAGCTTATCTCGACTTGAACCAATATTTTGAAAAGCAATACAGTTTTGTCATTTCAGAGTTACGTTATATATACATCGATGGAACGTCCCTGTGAACGTCAGTGACACCAGTCGATGGCTAAGACTGAGCTGTTGGCAGTTGATAGCCTTCGAAACTGATGGATTTCAAACAGCGGATGCACCTTGAAAGTTTTCATTTCTTTGAAGGACAGTGTGCAGGTTACTGTAGCTCTGGATTATAAGACAAGGTGGATATCGTGATTTATCATACGTGCGCTCTGTGCATTCCCGGGGCCTATGGTTAGAATTGCATCATTCTCTTTTTCACTAAACAATGAGTGTATTGACCGCATGCATCATACTCTGGAATCTAAATGCATCTTTTCGAGGGACCGAGATGATGCTATCGTGGAACAAAGGAGAAATCGACTTACAAGATGTCTGCCTTATGTCCAAGGACAAATTTTCAGCGTTGGATGTCACTTATGCCATGGTCTCAGTGTAACCTGTAGCCTTTTCATGCGTATCTTATTAACGTATGAGAGAGCGCCTTAATAGGACCATAAGAAAACACTCGCCTTTCTGATCAGACTAACGAGCTGAATCCCGTGAGAGCTTGCTGCGACCGACAGCTGTTATGATAACGTCCGACGTCGCTAAATGTCAGCATCCCAGCGTGCAATATAAGACATGAACGAAAATCTCGATCTTTCGATGGGGTCGAGTAATACTGACAGCTGTTGGCGATCGGAGTATTGATTTGCAGTCGCTCCATGCTAAAATATCCTGTGACTGCCATTGTAAGCCGGACAAGGAGGGACGGTCAAGTCTACCTTACAAGGTGAACACGGAAGCAGAGGATGAAAAGGTACGTGGCAGAAGACATGGCAGCTGTGCGTACCGTCCGAAATGATACTCCCGATCCACGTCATATTTTTTCCCTTTGCTGATTCCTTCTGCGTATCATGCTATAACAACGGATGCAGCAGGTAAGTATAACCCTCCCCTCTGCCTGGCACGCTGATATTCTCAACCACGGACGCTGACACATTTAACGAGGAAGACAAGCACAAAGATGCCTGTCGTCGAGCTGATGGCGACGGGTGTTGGCTGAGTGACACGAACTTGATAAGCCCCATGTTTACTCACTGTTGCAATGAAGTTGGGTCCATTCCACGCGGATGCAGGCATTAACGCGGACCGCTCGTGGTGAAGTCCTGCGGGTGGATGCTGGGAGGGCGAATGTAGGGAGTGCTTGTACCCTCCCGTGGACGCGGAGGCTTACTAGTATATGAACTGTTTGTGCCGTGGGCAGGCTTCCTCCTCGAAGGAGTTGAGATAGGAGGGGGCAGGAGACGAGGGCCTTGGGATTGGGATTGCCCGGATGGCTGGTTGTCGCTTGTGCTGGAGTTTGGGTAATTGATGAATAAACTGAATTTATTGGACAGGTGTGTAGCGTGCGGACAATGATGGAATGGAGCGTGTCATTTCAAAGTTAGGCGCCGCTGCCTCTCAAGTCGCTGATATGATAACCAGTGTGCAGTTTGAGCTATTAGCGAGCCTGCGAGCCAAAAGCTCAAACTAGTGCTTACTAATCGAGGAAGCGCATCTAAAAAACCGACTCGGTGGAAATATAGTTTGAAACTCTTGTAAGACTCTCGTGAGAGTTGCCGTTTTGGTTAGCACGAAATCTAGTTCGTAAATACCTGGTTTTGGTTATGTTTGAACCCTGAGCCAAGTTTCACACATTTGGATGGGAGATTTGAAGATTATCGATGCGATGTGAGATTATCAGTACAATAAATGTGTTATCCAGTATTACTAGTACAATCAAAACTACTATCTGATAGAATCTACGAGGGTGCCTGCAATGGTCCAATCACTAACACGTACTGCAAAAAGTTGTGAAACTGTACTCGCTCGTCCCCGGAAAGGTTGTTCATCACACTGAGGATATATAGGAACTTGTGATTGGATCCCATTCTTCCAAAACTATCCACTTTCACCTGGACTTCAAACTGTTTGTCGAGGCTGCAGAACATCACTGCGCCGAAGAGTGCCCACATGAACTTCAAATTTTCGATTTGCTGTTCCTCAGTCTCGCCAAGGAAATCTTGGTGCAACCCCTGCCAAACAAAATGGATAATGTTGCACATGATGAACACATTCTGAAATTTAGCTTTGATTTCGACCTGTCCGTTCTGAAAAGATTGAGCTGCCCCCGACAACACACATGAACGAAAACTTACTTGATCAAAGCTATAAACGTGCATGAAAGCAAGACCATCTCCATCTTTTGTGATCTTTTCGATCAAGTGTTTGTGATAGGTGACAGCAGGTGCGGCAATGTGCAGTGGAGGGACATCAGGAAATCAACCTGGAATTGATATGACCAGGTAGACCTGACAAATACAACCCATTATGATACATCTAGATTTGGAATTAAATACTATTATGTTTGTACAACATGTATAGGAAAGAATATATGACTTTGCCTGGGGCATGTCATTGTGATGTGCGCATTGCGAGGACGCATCACATATATTAGAGAATATATGGCTTTGCCTGGGACATGTCATTGTGATGTGCGCATTGCGAGGACGCATCACATATATTAGAGAATATATGGCTTTGCCTGGGACATGTCATTGTGATGTGTGCATTGCGAGGATGCATCACATATATGAGAGAATATACAGCTTTGCCTGGGGCATGTCATTGTGATGTGTGCATTGCGAGGATGCATCACATATATGAGAGAATATATGGCTTTGCCTTGGACATGTCATTGTGATGTGCGCATTGCGAGGATGCATCACATATATTAGAGAATATATGGCTTTGCCTGGGACATGTCATTGTGATGTGCGCATTGCGAGGATGCATCACATATATTAGAGAATATATGGCTTTGCCTGGAGCATGTCATTGTGATGTGCGCATTGCGAGGACGCATCACATATATTAGAGAATATATGGCTTTGCCTGGGACATGTCATTGTGATGTGCGCATTGCGAGGACGCATCACATATATTAGAGAATATATGGCTTTGCCTGGAGCATGTCATTGTGATGTGCGCATTGCAAGGATGCATCACATATATTAGAGAATATACAGCTTTGCCTGGAGCATATCATTTTGATATGCATCTTGTAAATATGCAACAAAAATATGAAAGAACATCTAGCTATGCTGGGGGCATCTCATTTTGATATGAATCTTACAAATATGCAACAAATATATGGAAGAATACATGACTATGTCGGGGGCACCTCATTTTGATATGCGCCTTACAAATATGCAACAAATATATGAAAGAATATATAGCTATGCCAAAGAATCTCATTTTGATATGCATCTTATAAGTAGATATCAAGGTGACAAGTGATCTATCATACACTATAATTGGCTGGTTGGTGATCAATCTTATTTGTGACTTTGTTTCATGTTATCAAGTAGTTGTATGTACTTGCAAAAATAAGAATTGTGACATTGACTTGACAATGCATTATAATGTGATGTCAGGTGCGATCAAAATTGGCAAGGAGATCATTTTCATATATGATATGTTCTGTTTCTTGAAGAATATAGGGACATGCCATCTTGACATGCATCTTACAATGGAGCAACAACCATATGAAAGAATATTTGACTTTTTTCATTTCCATGACTCATTACCAGGGACAGATTCTTTCTGCTCCAAGCTCTACACCTCAAATTATCTCTTCGCAAGGCAGAAGTGAAGAAAGACTAGCGAGCAGCTCATGGCACATTCAATATGTTTAGTAGTGGAGCCACAATAGCGGGAAATGATGCAGAGAGATAGGACATGAAGTCAAATTCAACAGGGCAGCGGAAAAATTCTGCAAGCCGCTGAGGCCTTGCTGCCTTAAATAACGCAAAACTCTGGAATTGGATACTTCTCCAGATTCGCTCTCCTCCTCGTTTGCTTCATCTTCCACCTGCCCATCCGCATCGACTGCCATCACATTCGACAAATGATTCTGAGCATTAGCAACTATATCAAGTGTGGTCCCGAGTAAAGCTGGCCAATATGTGGTTAATCTCGACCCAAGGTTCTTCAGCACATCACCCAACAAAGTCAGGTAACCAGACTGCTGCTTTAACGGGATGTCTGAGGAAATAGGGTGCAGTGAGAAGAGGTTGTCCTGGCGAGCATGGCTGTCCGCTTGCATGGGTTTCAACATCAGATCCACTAGAAAATAGAGCTCCTCATCTGTGCATCCTGCGAGTGCTGTCAGCACGGCAGCTCGACGATCACTGCCTCTAGAGCGACCCTTCTTTTCCAACATAAGGCCATATAACAGATGGACGATGATGTCCACTACTTGAGGCCGGTCTTTGATCTCTATCGATGACATATGCAAAGACGTCAACTCGTCTCTCCATTTTGTTTCGTCGAGTAGTAAGCCTAACTTCGCCTGGTGATGCTGGAGGTGGGGCGACTTGTACGCGAGCAGACAGGATAAGGATACCTTTTGCAGTTCCCGATCGGGATGGGATAGGAGGGAGAGGTACAGTTCTCGTAGTGTATCTGTGGAGTGCAGAGCCTTGGGATTGCTAAACTTGCTGAACAGCGTCAACCACGCCTGAAGCTTATATTTCGGCAATTGTGATAGAGCATCCGGACTTGCGATTGAAATGGAGTATGTCACCAACTCACGATTATGTTTTTCTGCCAAAGATGTACATTGTCCGAGAGTGAGGAGGATCTGAGCTTCGAATGTGACGGGATCAAACCGATCAGACGATTTTTGTTCCTATGTCACATCGTTAATAGGACGCTAGTTGAAGTGCTAACTAGAAGACCTACCAAAACGATGATTTTGTGGTGGTGAAATGTATCTAGCCAGCTTACAGCAGCACCCCCAACCCGATGTGCTGTGGGGTCCCTCCAAGATCGTTCTTCTTCCCAGGGATCCATGACATTCTGATCATCCTTGGTCAGCCAGTCAGGAATTTGATTGGCTCCCTGGGGTTGTTGTAGCTCCGAGAATATGATATTCCAGACGACATCGCCAAACTTCTGGGCTACAAAAGAGAGAGCTTGTGACGCTGGGGACCATATCGGTCGTAAGTTGACCTTCAGTTGAGCTAATATGACATCAGCGAAGTGCCTGCATAAATGGGACGGTATACGTACAAACAAGCCACCGAATACAGATATCAGCGGAAAGTGAACCATCATCTCTCACGACCTGGTATAATCTGCCTATTTGAAGAACGCGCTCGCGCACGCCATGCATGTCAAGGGACACTTCGTCACCCTGCAGACGGCGCCTCAGCGCTTCGTGTTCTGCGGGAGAAGATTTGACCATCTTCGATGTCAATAATGCCAAGACATTTGAACGCAATGTTTGAGAAGGGGAAAGTAGCCGTGATTGCAGACGGGAATATAATTGGGCGATTGGAAGAGACTGAGATGAAGAAGGGCTATTTTGTGTCAGCAAGAACAAACCAGAATGAGGTCACGGAATTACCATGCTTCGAGAAGTGCGACTAGACCTATCATTACTTCATCAAACCACGACCAATGCTCCACAATCTCTGCCGTCCAGGCCGATGGATCCACTTGCGTTTCCCAGGAAGCTGATTTGCATTGAGACAAAGCTTGCATGCATGTTCCGATCACCCAGGCCGCATTGGCATATGATGCTTGCCAATTCGCCTCGGGTGTCGGCGTGTTTAGTGCGCGTTCAATGATGGGCACCAATAAGGGCGCCAGTGAGTCGACGAATATGGAGAGACTCATGATGTCGTACAAGTGATCCACCGACTCATCACTAATTTCCCAGCTAGATAAGTGGATTTGTATCCACCTATCGACGCATCGCTTCCAGACGATATCGACCTCGCCCAACTTTCCGGAATGTTGCAGAGATGCGAGAAGACGCAACGTGAGGGTGTGCTCTGCCTGAAGGAGAGTAGGGGTTGCTTTGAGGAGGGTGGGTAGTCTGACAAACTTCCAACCACCCCATCCTAGCTCCGCAAGGACACCGCAGAGCATCAAGCCGAAGGAAGGAACACCAAGAGCCTGAGCGACAAATGCACGTCCTGGCCCTGTGGACATTGACATGTCACCAGCAGTGAGAAGTGAAGACGTAAAATTCAAAATTTCGGAATGCAGAGGTAGCATCAAGCGGCAGCGACGCCAGTCTTGAGGCAAGTTGTATTAGATGGTTTGCTACAGGTACAAAGTTTAACGGGTATGCAAGACTGAGAAATAATGACGACATACTAGACAGTCGCGATCCTTGACGAACTGCACATATGACAGACGCAATTTGCATGACACATTGAAGATCTTGGTGATTTGCACCACCAGTCTGCGATACGGCACAGAAGCGATCAACGATGAGGCTCGCAACAACCGAAAAGTCTTCCGGGCCATTGCAGTGGTGAATCAAAGCGGTCAGCACATGCCGAAGGAGTGTATACGACAATTCAGGGTGATCACTTGTCAGGTGGCAGTCAATGAGAGAAGCTATCGATGATCCTGCACTGGTGTGCAAGGTTTGGGAAATAGACTGCAGGCATATTAAAATTAGCAACTAAAGTTGAGCAGCAATACGCACTTTGCATGCAAAGATCATCATCCAAGTGCTGGCATCCTCGATGCCTTCCAAATTCTTTGCCATCAAAATTACAGCTCTCTCCCTTGCAACACTCTTCAGCCGCCGGAGTACGGAACCCCAAACCTCGGCTGCGGCGCGCTGGACATCAGAATTGCACGTTGGAAGCACCGCGCGAAAAGAACACCACATATGGTCCAAAAGATCGAGATTGATTGACGGTACGAGAAGATACCTGAATAGTCCTGAGAGTGTCGCCAGGAGAGCTGTAAGGGAGGGTGCTGATATGGGTTGTGGCAGAAGTCGCAAGAGGACCTCTAGTAAATCCGCATATGACGGAGCAAGTGTGGTTCGTAGATCGTGAGCCAACTTATTCAGGAGGCTAAATAATTATACGGTTAGAGAACATTGGTAAATCAGGTGTTGAGCTGAGAGGCGTACTCAAGCAGAGCTATCAAAGCTTCATTGTCTGATGCATCCAAGGCACCTTTCCACCAGTCAATGATATCCTTCCAGTTGAACTAGGACTAGGTGACTCGAGGCGATGTGTGGCAGAATGATGATGATGACACTACTACAACCCGCTCCGAACATGTGCTCTACTGCTGACTAAGCTTTGTCTGAACCTTGACTAAGCCTGAATGCTGCCTCCGGACCTTGACTAAGCCTAAGTGCTGCCTTGTCCCTGGCCCTACTCCCTTGGGACCCCTAGTCCACAGTTATGCAAGAGTATGGGCATAGATATTGAAAGCGAGTCAACCTTATTCGCGAACTGAATAAACGCTGGGGAGAGATTGAGCTGCCGCCATTGTTGAAGAGCTAGATAAAAATGGGATTCGTTGTCCTGGACCTGCTTCAGCAATCCACGTGGATCGATGAGACCAACCTCAAACTTACCGAAATATCATGATCAAACTTGGTGAGGTCAAGAGCAGATGGCAGATGGACTTCCTTCAGGCTTTTCTTGTATGATTGATGCTAAATGATGCACGGTCAATCAAGCGAATGGGCTCGACAATATTTGAAGCACCTTGAATCGGTTCGCGCGGGGAACTGCACTGGTTCCCTCGCCTGAGTCTGAGTCCGAATCCATGGCTTTCAGAATGTTGCAAAGGACTGTCAGAAAAAAATGTCGCGCTACCGTTTATGAGGACAGGTGGCAGTCATGAAACACTGACTGCTCCGGTGGCTTGCGGTCCAAAATTTGCGATCTCGAAAAGGTTGTTTGGATCAGAAGCCTTTGCCAAACAGTCCAATCCCAGATCCCAGAGGTACTACTACAGCATGAACAGGTGGTATTGTCGCAGATTTTTTGGATAAACTATGCACAACTTGAAGCAGCTGAAGTAAATATGGGTAAGGATCGATCGAATTTGATAATATGATGTGAGAATTGTCCCTCGTTCCTCACTGTCGAATCAGTCCAGGACCAAGACTTGCGATAATCAACGGAATTACGAGTCCTGCCCCAACAGTTAGGGCCAGCCCGCATACGATCCTGGCAGATAAGGGTAGTGCGAATTCAGCCGTGAAGATACCTGCGAGAAACCCAAGTATCGAAAACGCCAAACTGCGTCACGATGGTCCTGTGAGTAATAGATAATTGCAATCAAAGGCTTGCTTACCTTGTCAAATATAGAAAACTCGGGATACTTGCCAGGATTGCAAGAGTGGTCATCTTCCCTTGCAAGTAATACACCTATCAAGTCAGTCATATGGTCAGGCTAAGTCACAAAAACATCAGGTCAATCTCACCGCGAAGTCAAGCGATCTCAATCTGTACCCAAGGTGTTGTGCCAAGGTGCACCCGATGATGCAGTAGACGCTGAGAATGAAGGAGATAGAGCACAATATCTTCGTAGCAACTTGTGTGCCTAATCCTGGGATGGCAAGGATGCTTGCATCGACCGCCATGATAACACTTGCCTGTCAGATCAAAAGAAGTTGTAAGCGCCCTCCTTCGGGTTGACAATATTGTACTTACTATGGTGGTTTGAGCTTTAGCCTGGGCGTTGAAGTCGTCCGTAAATCCTTTGATGTCCACTCCATTAACAAGACCGTCAACGTAAATATTCTTGAGGCGTTTGAGGACCATCATCGGGATCCAATACATAGCGACTCCAACACTAGTCATGAGGGCAGAATTTTGTAAGTCTCTGCGTCTCTCCGCAACCGAATGGGTTCGCATTAATCGAGCTTCGGGTTGGCCGTGATGGTTAAGGTATTCGTGATGGCCTTTACAACTACTCAATCAATAACATCCCGCAAAAGAAAACGACGTACGGAGTATGTGCAATAATTTGCCTGTTCAACATGAATTTACAATTTTTAGTTTTCTACCACATATTGCGACACCCGGTTCCTCCATGATCCCGCTAGATCCTGCAAGTTCCTCTGGATTGGTCATTGACCTGGAGATGCGGATTCAAACGAAAGTACGTACCGGCAATGGCCAGCTCAGTAGCTATTTCCTTCATTTGATCGAGGCTCCAGAATATCGCCGCCGCCGTTGGTTTTTCTATGGCTAATGCTTCTGTTCTTAGCCTACTTTATTATTCTGGTCGGGCACTCAATTGCAACGAACTTGCCAACGCGATACCAGTTCAACTGCATTCGCAAAGCTTTGACTTCCGCGAGACTCACTTCAATCCCGCGTGGAAAATACTTGACGTGTTTCCTAGTCAAAAAGTGAGTAATGTTCTGCATCAGGGTGACATCCTATATCAATTACTCACCAATATTGGGCCTCAAGCTCGAGTCCTATGAAATCAGATTCAAGAACCAAAGCACGAAAAAGAAACACACTTTTGTGACCCCAGTGCCACACCGCCGGGCATTCCTGAAAAAGAAGAAATCCGTCCACTGGTTCTAACCAGGTGATGGTGCGGCTCTCCAGGACCACACAGTAATATGGAAAGATCTCATTCCCTCTCACTAAGATCGGGTCAACGACTAACCACCATTCTTTCCCGTTGAGCTTGGTTCTTGATGCCTCGATCCAAGTTTCGAGCCTCTGTAATTGTTCATCTGAACAGATCATTAGATTCATTTCGGTGTATGTTTTCTTTATCAAAGATAAGTATGCAAACTGAAATCACAGCAAACGCTCACCGTTCTTGCATTGTGATGATACACAGCTCCTGACAGGTGGACAAACTCGACCCAATCCTCACGCGCTCCATTCCTGTCAATGCTGTGTTAAATTGACGTTATCGCGAACACAGGTCACGAACCGAGCGAAGTCGACTTGCATGGTTCCTACGAGATAATCGTGATGCGGGTTATTCATACTGAATTAGGTCAGTACTCGTCGTTCATTGTAATAGAAACGCAAACTCACGGCGATGCTATCTCGGTGTACCGCCGAAGTTGCGTGGGCCAGATAGGAACGCTACGCTTGAGCAAATCTGAGATCTGGTGGATTCCCGCATCTGAGACCTAGCAGGAGAGTCTGAGGAACGTAGCTTGAATGGGAGTCGCGATTGAACGTACTGTCGTGGTCATGGTTTGACCTGCCAACTCACACGTGGTGGTATAATAGTAGGTGGCGGTTCACACGATGATGGTCAGATGGTCACTGTACCATTATCACGGAATAGCCCCAAATGGAACAACCCTGAGAATAATTAGCAAACACTTCCGGGCCTGGATGCGATGCCGATATGATGACATTGCGTACTTGTAGTATAATATATCCGAGTACCGTAGCCTCAAACTGAAGTAGATTTAAATACACTTGCGAGTATAAAATCGCGATCGCCGAGGATTGCATTAGCGCTATAGTAATGCTGATAGCGTGTATGTATTCTGGAGGCTGAATCTTTGAGATGCAGCGCTGGTAGGTAGCATGATGGTATAAATACAGCTAGGAATGTGTTGATCATAGCCCTAGTGGGGTATACTACATTGTGATATTGCGAGAGGGGGGGATGTAATGCAGGCTACTTGTACATGATGGAGACGATTCACTGAAACTCATTAAGGCTACGAAATCCATCGTCAACTTGTGAGAATGTCCTAGCGTGTCTGGTAGAAATGAGGACGCTCACCAGAAACGCCAATCTCACCATATTTGTGACCTTCTTTGCAATGCCGGAAACCTTGGCTTTGACAGCTGCCAGACGTCGGGAGGGCGGCGTAACGACCGATTCATTGGGTCGCTGGCCTTGGGTAAGCCGCCGGTACTAGTAGGTGTGACGATCTTACCGAGTCCAACCAAAAGTCCACCTGTGTCTGATAAAATTGTTAGCTGCGTACCGTCGATCATAATCTGGTGCTTACCATTACTTTTCTGCCCTTCATCGGCAACTGTCCCATAGAGGCCGTATGCGTTACACGGGACATCGAATGTGAATGAGGAGTGCGAGGTTTTACAGAGAGGGGCTAAGATTGCCGTATGTAGTCGTTGAATGTGATATGTAGCGTGGGATTGTCGATACAGTCGATGGTAAACTCGGAGATCTTGAGATCTACCACAGCAAAGAATGACACACAAACAATTAACTGAGTATCCGACCTTTGAAGCCTCAAGCTCAAAGACGGGCATGAAAAACCACACATATAATAATTAATGTTCAAAGCGATGGAAAAGGCTCATAAAGAATAAGATAAATCAAGTCCAACGTAAAACAAAATCAAAGTAATACAATAATGGGAGTTATCACAAATCGTAGTTTGGAGATCGAAACAGCTACAAAAAGTGGTGATACAAATATACGTCAAAGGAGTGAGGAGGTATTGGAGGGTATGGACGAGGTCGAAACCCAATCGTCAAACCAATCGCTATGACCATCGGGTGGTGATACATCTGTAGCACTTCCAGATGACGAAGCTACAAACAGTTGAGCATGAGAGACTCAAGCAAAAAAAACATGCTCACCAGTAGTGCGTGCTATAGCTTTAGAAAACATGTCTGCTTCGGCTTGTGCGCGTTTCTTTTTCAAATACATAATGTGAAATTCGGCCTTTAGTACATCCAACTTTCTGACCTCTACTTTGGAGCTGTCGCTGTCATTGGTGCGCACTAGGAGCTGGTTAGTTTCGGCGACGGATGCGCTCACATATGAGTAATATGTGATATCGTCGGCCCAAGCTTTCAAGAAAGAAGGCAAGAAAAGAAGTTGATCACTGGGCTGCATGATGTCAGAAAACCCGCTCCCTCGTAGCATTGATAACCCTTACCCTTAAGAGATGTTCATGCGGATGAGAAATTGTTACATATTGTGGAGAATGAAGAAGTGTTTGGCTGGCACTGGTACCAACTGTCGAAGTGTTGCATGCAAGAAGCCACGCCTCGCATTTTTCTCGAACACCTTCTGTGAGTTTGAAACAATTGGAATCGGCCGAGTCAGAGTCTTTGACGTATGTGCCGTCCAAAGAAGACAGCGTCTTTGGTACAGGAGACATAGCTAGAAATAAATTTGAAGGGCTTGACACAATCCTCTGAATAACACTTACGTGAATGATTTGGAGTATCTAGTTCTTCACACAAGTTCGCCATAGCCTTGCTAAATAACGAAACTTCCATCTGAGCTCAATACATCCTGTCCTCCATCAAAAATCGTTCTTTTTGTACAAAAGGTAATGTGCAACTCTCCTCTTCTTGCTGGAGTTGCATCTGTGTCGTGACCACCCTGAGGCTCGTGTCAAGGAGAGCTATGAGATCATGAGGGTCGACCCATCCAAACAGCACAGAAGCTGTGATGAAGAGGGAGTCGGGAAGCTGAACATGAAGTAATCAGGGTAATGTCATGAAAACAATCAGCACACTGACAACTTTAGTTCCCTGTGTCTGGAGCCATTGGTTCAGGGCATTATCGGTATGTTCAATATCGAGAAAGTAGGTGTTCGAGGACGTCTGGTATGTAGGTACAAAAGCTGATGTGATATTTAACATGTTGAGGTTCGTGGATAGAAAAAGACTCAAGGGATGTTTGCACGATGGTTGAATGCTGACACAACCTATACTCAAGCAATGGCGCGAAACAAGGGTGTTGCTTGGCCTAGTTTGGAAGAGATGGTGCAACTCGAAGATGGTGCAGTGCCATCAAACTATAAAATCAAATTATAAAATTAGACTGGCAACTAAATTAATTGGAAATATAGATTACCGGGTCGAGGCCTAGGAGCTTATGGCATGCGTGATTGGCGATACACAAAATGCGTTGGGTTGGGTTCTGTAGATTGCGTATCATCAATTATGGATGTTAGTGCTCCAGAGGGTATGTGTCACGAACTTATTTTCAGCATCGTGGTTACCTCAAGGTATCAGATGCACTTTGCTTGCCAAGATGAGCCTCTTTAACTCTTCAACCGTCACATAAAAGTTTGCAACCTAACAGTAACATTACATTTCAAATCAAACTAATGCAGACAACATATACGATTGTAGGGTCGATTCCGTCCACTTACTTATGGACTGTTATTTTCTGGCCTGTGGTGGCTTTCTTTGGCCGGCCCAGTCGGGTGACTTCGGTGATGCTGTGCTCCATTAGCCGTTAGTGCCTAAAACACAACACATTAATCGAATGTGAACTCACATAACGTTACACAACTTGCCCAAGTTGAACATGAGCGTCGGGTGATCCGAGTCGTGGTGCTGGGCGGTAAGTACTGGACCCATCCGGAAGAGTCCGCTATATATTACAGACTGTGATGGATAAGGCATCTCTTTGGCCTTGATGCCTTCTAGGTTCGCCAGCGTTTCCAGGGTACCGCCGAAACACTGAAAATGAACACGTCGGTGGATGAAAAACCATGAGAATGGCAGGAGACTCACACTGGCGCCCATCAACGCCAACGTGGCCATGGGTGGGTGGGCTGCACCCTTGAATGTCGTTGGTTCAAGATCCGCCAACACCAGTGTCACACCATTTGTGTACATGTGGCGGAAGACAACATGCCAAGCAATCTCCTTAGCCATTGGTTGGCCCAGGAACCATGCAAAACCATTTGCCTGTGTGACGAAATAAGAGTGACAGCCCGGAACTGCAGAACACTCACCTTGATGGGGAGGAGACTAGACTTTGGTTCCATGAAACACTGCAGTATGCCGCGGATCGTTTCAAGTAATAAGATCTTCGCAGTGATGTGGTCGAGGCCGAAGCATTCATAGGCCGAGCATTCTACCAACCATTTGACATCGTAAACGAAAAGCGTCAACCAAGATTTGATCTATTTGAAGATAAGCATGTAGATTGAAAACAAGGATGACACGTACAAAGACCAAGATCTCAGCATGAGTCAAATGTTTGTTGGTGGTAGGTGAGTTAACTAAAAAGGGGTGAGCGTATATACAAGTAGCGAAGGACTTGAGCTCCCACCTGATTCCAATTGATCAGGGCGTATGTTAGCAGTACAGAGGGCCTGAGGCCAGACATTCTGCAAAAGTTTGGCCCTGGCGACAGGTTGATGCAGGAGGTCGTAGGGGTTGCCAACATTGCCGCGACACACTGCCAATCGCAGTAGGGCCCGGGTATAAGCAAGGGCCTTATTCCAATTGGGGAATTGCTGGATCCACTTCAGGTTGTCTTTTTCTTGGGCCTTCTTCTTTTTCTTGGGCACGACGACAGTTTTTTGAGCTGTTTGAGATTGTTGCGTGCTGACAACATCCTCAGAGATCACGTTCGCCGAATTGGTGACCCAGGAACCTGGGATAGTCGAAACGTTTGATGGACCTCCTTGTGATCATTGGTTCGTGAGGCCTTCCAATATCATAATTTGGGGTTTGTCGTGGGCAAGGGATGTGTCTTCGGAAACAAAGGGGGGAAGATGATTGAAATCGACACTACCACCTGAATCTGACATGTTCACGAGCGATGCAATGTCGATGCCGGACCACGGGTAGTAACCTTTTGGATGACGCGCGAGACGGAGAACATCTGGGCCCGCCTATGGTATATTGATATGTGAGATACCCGTAAAATGGCAAGTTGGACTTACGCAGTTGTATACCATATAGGACTTGCCGTCCAAGCCTATAACCGTGTTGTGCATAGGGAGATGCAAAGGCCCGACAAGGTCATCCTACAAATCAGATCAGTGGGAAGGCGTGGCAAAGTGGATTTTCAACTTGCAGGTATGATATACACAGGTACAGTCTTGCTCTGTTGGATCTCGAACACCGCAAAGTGATCGATTGACGTGTATATGTATGCACATTGATTTATGCATGGACGCAACTAGGAGGAAATAAGTATATGACTGTCATGCAAAATCAACCACGTACAGTCTGATGGGATGTCGTTGGGCACTGCGGCGAAATGAGACGACATACATTCGTCAGAAATACAAATGCTTACATATAGAGGAAATAGCTTGGCGATGATCCCTACCGCGATGTAGCCAACAAAATCGTAGTCAGTGGTTTTGTCGAAATCAAACTAAAAAATCGATTAACTTCGGTTTAGAGAATTGTGAAGGTACGAAAACTGACATAACGCGGCATGATCACTTTGAGAGCCTCATCGAAGACGAAGCAATAGACCTCTGTGATGGCCGGATTCATAGGATGATTAGAAGTAAAATGCAAAGATGAAGATATTCGTGAACTGAGTGGGGGAAAAGCACTGAAGCAGCTTTTAAAGTGGATTCTGAGAGGCCTGGTCCGGGTTAGCGTGCCATCAAGTCGTTTTCTTTGGGGGTAGTCCTGACGAACCCAATCAGTATGCACTCAATGCGCCATCTAGTTATTACATGTACATACCACTGTAAAACTCTAATTTGAGACAAAATCGAACCGAAATATGTTCACGCCATCGCGGTGCCAAGAGTAGTAATACACGCAGCGACGGCCATTACGTTCACTATTACAAAAAGTACGGCCTCTTATCTAATTCTCATAATCTAGCTCTACTTCGCTCTCGTACATTTCGTCATATTCCTCTAGTAGCGATTCACAGCTACCGCTAAAGTACTGTTCAGCGTGATCCACCACTGCAGTATCATAATCTTCATCGTCATCTTCACTACTATCATCCTCTCCAATTTCACCATCATGTGCCCCTTCGTTTGTGCCTTTATCAGCATCATCGAATCCGGCATGAGAGAACGCAGACTGTACTGTACTTTCATCTCGCTGGAGATCAGTCTGCGCATCACGATGGTGAGAGTACACGTGTCCAACACCAAGCCCAAAGTGGTAGCGCATAAGCATATCGCGATCTACAAACCTGACCAAATGAACTCAATACCGCTGATTGATGATGTGGTGCAACTAACTTACCGATTGATATAGTACTCATGCCAGTCCCCCTTGTCCCCCGCACATGCCAACAAACCCAATCCGTCGTCGTGTCTTCTGCCACGGGCAAAACGAGGTATGATGTGACAGCCCCGGAGGACATCTGCGGGATCAAGAAAGTCGAATGAGTGCTCGTCCACCAGGGGCGGAAAGTGTACTCGATCTAGGGTCGAGGTCTCCCAGGTGGAGTACTGGTCCATGGACTCGTACCAACGAATCCACAGAAACTCCATCCAAATTGGGGTGTAGTCGACCATACCGTGTCCAATAAATATCACATTGACGTGATATACGCCCAGTACATTACCGTAGATATATCTGTGCCCTTTGCACCCCATGGTGTTGTCGGAGTGGAGCACCATAACATTGCAATGTGAAGTCCTTGGATTAATAACATCTTGGGCCCTATGAACATTGTAGGTCGTGTAGTTGAACCTAGCAATGTTGTGCTGATACATCCAATCATCCTTCAGTATAATTTTATTGATATCGTGTTCATCTCTGATCCCTGGAACACCTTGTGATGTGTTGATTCGGCGCAATAAATGACTCTTCAATCTGGAAACGAAGTTCTTCGCGAGCATGTTAAAAGTGTCTCAACGAAAGAATATTAGACCAACCGTGATAGCCGGATCACCTTGGTGGTTGACCAAGTACGATCCAATGTGTATGGGTTTCTTTTGTGTTAGACCAATGTGGTGATGGACGTGAGGGCTTTTTGCTAACTCGGAAATTTCGATGTGGGGGTGATGAGTAATGTTATCACCAATGCGACGAATGCGAGCCTGACAGTGTTCGATCCGAGTTAGTTGTTTCACAAAGGATTTGTGATCGGTACGACAATATCTCGCCTTAGGAGAGCGGTGTTCGAGTTCACCCTGGAAAATAATTCAATGCACGAGTTTCAATGATGGATGCTGGAGGACCTACCGGTTCTGTGCTATACGAATCAGACGTGCCATACAAGCGAATCGTAGACACATAGTCTCCCAGTGCATGGAACTTGTATGTTTGAAAATTGAATACTTTATTTTGCTTTAAATTTTGAGTCAATACTTGCGACTCATCTGCCTCGCCTTGCTCTACGAAGGGAACAGTTTGTTTGCCTTTGTGCCCGGCCTTCTGTTTCGCCACCTTCTTTGTCTGGCGTCGGGACCGAGCCTCGACCTCTTGGCGCAGCTCGTGCATCTCATAGGCAGCGCAAACTGTAGCCTTGAATTGGCGAAACTGGTGGCCGAGGACTGATGTCAATTGGTCCATAATCTCGAGCGTCAGCTCAGAATGCATCCGAAGCTTTGCTAGGCCATGCCAATGAGCCATGGTATACAGCAACTTAAGAACAATCTGATTGTGCGGCTCGGGAAGAAGGCCATCGAAGACAGGAATAGAGCACTACAAATCGCGTCAGTGGCCTATCTGACTTTAATGGCGGGAAAAGCACATACCTGGAGGAGATCTTCAAAGTTGCGAGCAGCCATGCATTTCATCTCCGAAGAATTGGCCGAGAACTTTCGAATGGTGGCCGCGCCAAATGTTGGAGTTTGTCTATATCTGATAACAAAGATTAGCGGAATGGTACGAGCTACGCATACCTATGCGACATACCTTTGGTCCAATTGATGGATAAGACCCTTATCTTGTGCCACAAGAATTCGCAGCAGGTGAATGAACAGCATCTTCCAGACCCCGATCTCGAATTCATGTAAGAGATCTACAACAAGGGCATGAAAGATATTAAATCCTAAATGACCTAGGCGATCCGAGAAGGCATTCTAGGGGATGGTTAGCTATGTAGGTTATCAAAGTTCAAATCTCACTGAGGTCGGCACCCAGGACTGTGGTTTGAGAATACGTTCCACTGCTGCACCGCCAACCGTTAGATTCTTCTCATAAATCAATGTCCGCGCCTCGCTAACCATAGTGCCTCGTTTCTGATCATCGCGTGCCAGAGTCTTGCGTTGTTGTCTATCTCGAGACATTCCCATATTCTGTATGCGATCCTTCGGTATGAGGCAGCGAGGACAAGGACAACTTCCCAGGTTTCGAACTGTGGCAATGAGAACTCTTGATAAGATTAGCATCAACAGATTTCAATCCGTAATATGATTTCACGCACTTCTTGGGATAGTCAGCCGAGTAAGTGAAGATCCGAGGGTAGAACCGACGTGTAACGCCGTCGCAACAACGAATGACTATTCCGTGTTCATAGGCCTTCAGAAACTCGTCGTCTAGCAGGATCTTCCACTGCTCGTGAAATAATTCACGATGACAGTGAGTGGCACCTTCGCCGGTTCCACCAGTAAAGTCCTTAAATGCATCTGGGAGCTGGTACCGCAAGGTCAGGTGTTGAAGAAAGTGAATAAGATTCGGTACACGTACCATCTCGAAGTAGGCAACATGGTTGCTTAAATTGCACGACGGTTTGCACCGACGATACTTCGATTCATTGCCAAAGTACATGTAAGTAGGCCATAGTTTCGCATTACCAAACGAAGTGAGTTGTGTGGCGTCAGACCAGAACATTAGTGCAGCCACCACTCGAGGTAAATCACAGTCAGGATCCCCCGGCAATTCTTGGAGTTGACTATGGGCCTCATAGAAGGCCCAGGACGTGTACAAATCTCCATAGATTGGGACTTCACCGTCCATGTGCGGAGGCGTCCAATGCAGGTGATATGGCTCGTAGTGAAAAAGAGCGTCATCTCGAGCGTTCGCAAGCTTCTCTCGCATAACAGCTACGATGGAATGATGGTACAAATTTGCGGCTTGGTAGAGCTGAGGGCCTGGCGTGTCAGTGGTGCGAGAAAAAGGAACCTGGATGGAAACTGGTGTGCTCTGCCATCCGGCGTCCTCATCCTCCCATTCCTCTCCATCTCCTTCATCATACTCATTGGCACCTAATTTACAGTTGATTTTCTTCCATTGGGTGGAGCTCATGTCAGCGGCCTGGAATGTGCTGTCGCCCACGATCTCTATCAGTTTTGCAAAGTCTCCTTGTGACTTCTGCACACCCTGGTTCCAATACCAGTCCCCAAGTTGGAATGATGCACGATTGGGATAGGGGTGATATTGAGAGATGTGGCTCGAAGGAGCAGGTGTGTGGGCATCTTCGAGGATGTGAGGGCTGCCTGGAATAAATGAGAGGTCTGCCATAGTGATGACCTCCTCCGGATCGTGGGATGGCAGTTTCGAAGAGAAATATTGACGCACGAGCCCAAAAATATTTGGGGGAGTACGAAATACAGTGCGCACGGGTGAAGCAGAGCGTTCGTCAGATGTGACAACAGAACCAACAGATTCCGGAGGCTGGTCCCGCACCTCCACAGGCACAGTAGGTGGAGGCTGAGGCAGTACATCTCTAAATCTCTTGGGCATGAGACAGTTTTGACGTCTCGGTCTACGCTGTGCCAAACACATGTCTTCGTCAATGTCCATGCCTACATGGGCAGGAGCAAGGGACGCGTTAGGCAGAGGAATATCTTGAACATTCAACATTGAAGCGTGAGACTCTATATCAGGCGCTCTGGCCAGCTCCACCGGAGCAGCCGCATCATTCGAGACGCGAGACCTTTTCCTGCGGCTTGCAAACTCCTTCATTGATGATATTGCCGACGACAGACATTTTTTCGTCTGGGGGCATGAATGCTGGTGTAGGCTGAAGTAATTCTGGGCCGTGAACGTTCGCTTGCAAACGCAGGTATAACCGAAAGATGACACGAGGGAATGAAAGCAAGAGAATAGATCGGACAAATTCTGAAAGCGGATGGGATGGTGTGCTTATAGCTAAGGCGTGCTAATTGCGATGGCACGAAATTAAGCAATGCCATAATTGCGATGGAGCGATAATTACCGTATGCGATCATTGCCATATTTTCATGTGCTGTGACAAATGTAAATCGCCGCAGATGTATATAACACTTGAAATCTGACATGAGTCTTCCATCTATGCGCCCTGAGATGTCCGCACCATCCTCCCCATGTTCTACATGCTCAGATCTCGAACCCCCGGAATTCCAAGTCGACCCTAAAGTCAACCCTAAAGTCGTCAGCATGTTGGTGAAAATCTTAATAGCACGCCATGGTATACTGCATTACCACGGGCAAACGGGAGAACTGGCCACATATCAATGGTAAACACATCGCCCTCATATAAAACATTTGTAGACTCACATGTACACTCGAATTTAAGGCCGAACGACGAATATGGAAATAAGATCCACCCTTCACAATTCGCTACTTACCGCAAGGCGCATTTATTTCGCTACCCATCTTGCCTTTGCGCCAGGGGTGGTAGTTATGTTGAAGCAGCGGTATTTGAGAGAACTGAAGGAATATGTCGAGGTGAGTATGTTGCGGAATGCGCCACCAGCACTTGCGGTTACATGGGTAAGCTGGCTACCTCCAAATAAAGAATGGTGGCTGATCTTCAATTTAGTCAATATTCACAAATTCTTCGGAAGAGCCTGCGTACCTGCCATTTATTATCCTCGCAGAGGTATCCTTGTGTTCTCGTTTACACTCGTCCCCGTATGCTCATACGCTTAGAGACCAGCAACCGCCGTGCCCGCATCCGCCGTACGATTAGCAACCAGCATGCATGTGGTGCAAACTGCTTGACGTCTGTCACATATTGATGTGATACTCGTGTTTGCGTTTATACAATTTGCACAAGATCTGAGGACCTACGCGGCCGATTGAGTAGTGGTCTTCAAGCTTCATCAATCCGGGTACATCAGATATGTTGATTACGGGGGTGTGTGTATCGTATCTCACCATCTTGCGTCGTGTGGCGTGAAAAGTATAGTAACATTATTGTGGCACTCCTTTGACCGTGCTCAACGTTCAACAACAAACACATTCGCATATTCTAATTTAATCAAGGCATCATCGTACTAAACATCATAGTGGATAGCAAAAGGTCGAAAACAAGAATAACTCAAATGTATAGGGTTTATATACTGACTGACTTTCTAAATTCAACTCCGCCGGCAACACCCGACATTTGCAGCATCGTTACTACTGCCACGGAGCTAAATCTTCATACACACACAAGGCTCTCTCCTTCAGTCGGTTCTTGTTTGCAGACACATAAACTCGGAGGTAGAGAGTATGAGTAAATTTGCTGTCCTCATAAACGATGGTCAGGACCAATAGTGATCTGTGCATCCATGAGATGGATTCAGATACTGTCTTCCGCAGAAGCTATATTGACGCCAAAAGTAAATAGAGTCCGGAGTACTGACGAATAGGAATTCTTCATGAATCTATCTGCTACTATTCTGAAGAACAACGACACCGAGATCATGCTATAAAAGAGGGGAATGCATGTACTGCTAAGAGTAGACATTAACGTATAGCTTTGTCGTTACATGAATCGGTAATGTAGTGTCAGAATCAACGGATAGCGTCTGAAAATTACAAAGTCCAGGGGATGTATGTTTATAGATCAATAGTAGTTAAGAGTCACGGAAAATCATGTCCCTGTTCCACCATACAAATCTGATCGAAACGTAGAGTGAAGAAAGTCGTACCGGTAATCACATCAATGGTATTTTTCTTAGCATTGCATTTCGCGACAGTTACGATCTGACCGCATGAATCACCATCCAAAACAAGGCACCGTTGGTTTTTTTTGCGTGGAGGAGCTAGATGGAGATCCTTAGCCGGGATATGGTAGTGTTGAAGCGCGGCGCCTGCGCTGTTAGATGTACAAAATGCTGAGATGCAGCCCGTGGGTGCAGGTCCATTCGCGCCGCAGAATGGGTCAGGAATGGCAGTGAATACAAACTGTTTGTGTAGCCTGCCACCCATGAAGCTCGGGGAGACTTTCAACACTGCGTGATGCTTAAGGAACGTCGAAGAAAATTCTCGACTCATCAACCAAGGTAGGGGGCCTGTGATGAGATAAGATAGATATTGTGTTGCCTTCGTTGAAGACTCACCACTGTCCCGGAGTTCCTCAGAATTGGTGCGAATGTTATCTTGGATGTCTTGGGCGTTGAGAGTCCAAGGGTCAAATGTTGACAAGCTGGGATGGGCACTCGAGGAAGGGTTGTCCGCGATATGGATACCCTTGGCGCTGGTGTTCCACGTGGTCCACATGTTAGGTGACGACAGGCTGGAATCTGTGCGGCTAGCGGGAGGAAATCGTTCAGGAGGAGGCGTAATTTTTCTTTGATGCGGTGATGGCAAGTACGATCTTTTTCGCATCTCGCAGAATGAAGCTAGATCCGGTGCTTCAAGTATTGCACCATTGAGCCTCATACCATAACTTAGCAGTCGTAAACATTAAATCAAATCAACATGAAAATTAGCTCGTTTCTCACCTGGTAACAACGTCTTGATTTTTCAAAGTGATACGTGCCTGCCCATGCACAGCAACTGTGCAAAGGTCACTCCCGAGACCATATAGCGTGGCTCGGAAGCCTTTCCGGTCACCTCCAACAATAAATACTTCTTGACCAATGATCTCTTTCAACGAATCCAAGTCCGCATTGCTTAATTTCATGACGAATCCAATTGGAACGTCAATCTGTCACAAATTAGAGATAGCTCAAATCCAGTCGAAGGGAACTTACAAGAGAAGCATTGCCTTCAGACAGCAGCGTCAAATGAGCCTTCCGGAAGTCGACACTTTGAACAACACCTTTCGTCTGATACTTCGGCCCGCGAGCTACACTCACGAAGTCTCCAGGTCTGACATCATAACCCCGCTCCCTCGTAAATTTCATCGTCTGCGCAATGTGCGTCTGTTGAACAAAGGTCGCGGTAACTTTAATAAGTGGCAGTCTGGAGATATCGTCTCCAGTGAATATAGGGTTCGCATCTCGGAACCACAATTGGGTGTCTCCCACAGGAAACCATTCTACGACCCCATATTTCCCCATGTGCTCTCCTGCAAGTACTTTTATTTCGTCGCCAACTTGTATCGAGTCGCAGTCGGGGAAAGGCTCAAATTTTTGCTGGATCGGTAGCCGTAGGTGCAACGTGTGATTCAATGAACAGCACTCTAAGTAGTACTTCGAAACTTGCAACTTCGAAATGAATGTCAGACAGCATCACAAGGTGTATATCAGACACCTACCTCTTCCTTCGATACCGCTTGACAAACGTGGCAGATATCATCAAATATCTGAATGATGTGTCCTTCCACGCCCAAGTAAGAACCTGCCATGACTCGAACTGTGTCCCCAACCCGAAAGACGCACTCTAAGTCCTCGAGTCGCAGGTCAATTTCTTTTCGATGGCCGTCAAAGGTAAGTTCTAAGTGCACAGAACCAAATATATAGTCGGTTGACACGACCGTTCCTATCTTCGAATAAAGTTCGCCTCTGAGAACTCTGACCACATTGCCTACACGCAAAAACTGCATGGAAAATGACGCAATAGACTTCTTGACAAATAATGTGTCCCACCCGGAGTGGAAATGCAGTCGAATGTCATCAGCGTGAGGGGAGGCGACGAGTTCTAAGAGAGAACGGTAAAATATTTTGAGTAAAAGTCCCATATAGTACCGTTCTCCTTTATATGACCATCCTACGACCTTTTCGTCATGAATGATGTCAGACACTCTATTGTCATTCGGAAGGCGAGATCGGTCGAGGAGCGCCTTAGATCCACGAGGCATTGAATATGGGAATTCTCGCGGAGGAATCAAGACTACCACAAAACCAGTCGATTGTTCTGAGTCGAACACATAGCTGTCACCCTTATATTTACCGTGCTTGATCCTCACCCACGATGGGTTTGGAAGTTTGAGATTGGAACATTTCACCACTCCAAATTCTTCATCCGAAATGAGAAGATACTGTTTCATGGAGAGACTATAGGAAGTCGGAAGTGAAGCTGCAATGGTCCTGGGGCTATCCGAAACCACGTACAGCTGACCTGGTACCCAGGCTGACACGATAACAGAAAATCCCTTGCTACTTAGGTGCTCCGCGATATATGGCGTGGCAGTTCCTACGATGTGCTGAGTGACAGGTTACACGATCATAAAATAGACGCACTGTGAACATGAAGAAGATATGTCCTACTTTTACTTGTGTCGGGGAACCGAGCAGCCCTGTAAGAAAGGCGTCCTTTCGAAGAACTGATGCTTTTCTCTCCGAACTTGACGAAGATTTTATCGATCGCTACAGCCAATGTGTCCTTGGCCGATGGTCCTGTCAAGCATGTCGCGTTCTGCAATCTCATAATGCCATCTTCACTCCCTGTCTCATTGTCGAAAAGACTGTCATCTTCATCTTCCCCTGCCTGGTCATCGATAAAAGGCTACATTTTCGGGTTTAGTGTAAGAGTTTTTAGAAAGGGGCGTTTCACGTACATTGGCTCGCCTCCTACGCGCTCGATGATCCCCATCCCCATCCCCTTCCTCGTCCTCGTCCTTGTCCTCATTGTCACCCTCCTCGGCTTCGTCGAGGATGAAGGGCTACACTTTTTTTAGCACAATAAATCATTCAATAATATTATTTCGCGTACGTTGGATCGCCTACGCAATCGATGGTTTCGAGTTCTTGACGAGTATCCATCCGTCTTCAACACGAAGGCGCCTGCGGGAGAATCTTTCGCTGGATGCATCGTTTTCGATGGACCATCTGAGGCCTGAGGCATGTACCTGGCCTTCAAGGCCAGAAGATTCGCCAATGCAATACTGTCATTGCCATCACCGGAGAACAAGGCGTCTCGGGCGTCCTTCCAGTCGTCTGCTGAGTATTGGGGGCCGAGGTGCGATAACAAAGCCTCTTCCATCTGAGGGTATGTCATTTCTGTGGTAAGGAATTGTTCCAGTATGCACCAGCTGCCTTCGTCCGACAGAGGTGATAACACTGGCGTCCGCCAATTCCCTATCCCATGGGAACATACTCATGGATGACAATCTTAACAAAAGTGCATTATACTCACCGTCATGATTAATTCTGACGTGCTTCGTGGCAGGTTCATCATCACTGGGTGCTGCCAGTGCGCGTTTGCCACTGGCAGTGGACATGATTATGTATCAGACTGCAGCCACTGTGTGGGTCAATATTATGTCCATAGCGAAAATAAATCTCACATACTATATGCCCAACGACTGACCAGTGCAGTTAATGGTTTATGTTTTATATGTCCGAATTATAACAGTACGATATCGAGTAGTAACAATTGAAATAAAACTTGAACCTGGTAATAATGATGTGCCACCGAGGGGTGCCGGTGGCTCCGCTCGAAATGGTAACTACGCGTCAGGAATACACCCATCCCGGGCCGGTACACACTTGGTGGCCATACACTGTATATAATACAATGACCCTACGGGTATGCCTGGACCCGACATTTCTCAAACCCAAACCCATCCTTCATCAATCAATCATCCCTTGGGATACAAAATAGCGCGAGAATAGGGATAGGAATGTACTGTGACCAGCCTGAGTCACTCAGAATAACGCAATGGATGCAACATATTCAAACTCAGCTGGCAATGACCGATTTGGAAGCGGAGCGCTAGATTCCGACTGAGTTTGAATATGTCGTTCACTATATAGTGTCATGCCTATTCTTTCGTCTCTTTCTTTCCTTTCGCTTCCCCACTACGGCACTTACTGTACCTTACCTTACGCTCTAGTTTTCTGCATCCATCGATGTGCCTTAGATCTTAGCATTTAGTAGTAGCGCTGATTTGGAAATACTACGTACCCATATCCTAAGACAAGATTGATTAGCTAAAGTCTGGCCTTCTGAAAAAACCTGATGTCGGTTGATCATAATGATCGCGTGTTTACCAATGTTCAGGCCTCAGGTATAATCAAATTCCTAAGTACGACTATCGGTAATGCATGCTGATTTCAGAAATCATTGTTCAAAGATGCTCTTCTTCACCATGCTCCTCACCGGAAACTTTGCCCGCTTCATTATACTCCAAGAACTCCAAGGAGTAAGTGGGAGATGGAGCACCTGCTGCAATCTGACCAAGGACAGGCACGTAGATGTCAAAAGGCATATGGCGCTCGAGGTTGTCGGCGCGGTAGTATTTTTCAAGCCATCTATACCTGTAGGTCATCACCTTATCTGAAAGGGCCGCAACCTGATTTTCCGTATCTCTCAGTTGTTCCTTCACTTGACGCAACTCATATTCCAATTTGCTCATATATGGTTCGTCCGTGACTAGGTGAATATTTTGTTAGACTTATCGTACACTTAACAGTCTTTAAATGTGAGATCTCACCTGTCATCTGCGTTCCTCTATGGACTAATCGATTGTTTTGATAGAACTGCCTGCACCATAAGTCTTGTCTGAGTTAGTCTTTGCCATGTTGTCACTGACTTGCAATCAGTGTTGGTTGATGGCTCATCTACATTAGAGCACTGTGATGAAAGATGGAAGCTCGAGGTGAACGTGATTTGTTTGTTAACTTCTACCTCGCTCTGAAAAAGACCCACCTTAGCGTGACGTTCCTTCCTACGTGGATGCATTGTCGTAAACATTCCCGGGAGGGTGAGTGAGGCGTCTCAGGTCCAACTGATGCGTCGTTGTGCATGATGTAGGTGGTAGTTGCTGCAACCGTCTCGGCTTATGTATCCCCACGATTATAATTTTTAGATTGCAGGAACGGCGGTGGGCCATCCAATTGAGATGGCGCGGAAGATGGCGTGAAGATGGCGTGGAAGATGGCGCGAAGATGGCGCGATTTGTTCTCCGCCTCGGCAATTATGCCGTCAAGGTTTTTTTTATAAGACTTTGGAGGTATATAAAGTGTCTCGTTTGCTCCTTATATTTGACCCTAGTTCCTTCCACGTAGTAGTATGAGCGGCGACGAGAATAACTCCACTGCTGGCGGTAGTTCGCGCAAGCGTAGCGGCTCAGCGCTTTACATGGGCCCGCGCAAAATGGCGTAAGTGGTCTTTCACGTCGAGACATTATCTTCCTGACTTTTCTCAATCAGAACCTCCTCGAATCCCCTTGTTCTTCATGGGCGACATTTTGGCCGGATGGTATTTGCATTATGTAACTATCCTGCTCTTTTGACTTCTGGCATACTTCGACTCCAAGAATTGCAAGACTCCCCGATAGAGGATTACCCGGCGGAGTGAGTACGAGTATAGTGATCACATGCCATCAGTGCCTTGACGTTCTTTTACACTAGTATTAGACGAGAACACAGGGTATTTATGGAACTGATAGACTCATACCCTGGTCTTCTAGAACACCTGACAAATGGTGACGAGGAGGATGTCATTCACATAGGAGAACTGGTAGGTCTTTAATTCTGTGCTGTTATGATAGTCACATTCTTGCAGATGGGCAAAGGAGCATCTGGTGCGCGAGACGACGATACGAAGACTCTCAAATCCGCTGTCCTCGAATGGCTTGTACCCAGAGGACAGGCGGTGATACCGCCCCTCTCGCGCAACATAAAGTCTGACCGCGGGTTCAATCATGAAGTCACTGGCGCATTGCTCTGCCCTGCAGGTCTTGACTGATCCAACGCAGAGTGAGCATTTCGAGTTTGTAATAGCCTAACAATGTTAACGCTACCCAGGACCAAACAAAGTCTTAAAAGCGGTGAAACGGCAGTGTGCGGTGACCAATGGCCCATGTTTTTATATGCAGGGTACGTCTATGATCCAGAAGATCCGTGGAGGGGTTTACTGAGGAGCGACTTACTTATCTTCGTGAGTTCACCATCAGCCATCAAATTCTAACGCAACATAATATTTTCGGCAGGGTTTCAAACACGTATTCACGTCTCCAAGCTCTGTAGACAAGGAGCCAAAAGCTACGCGCTCCGGTAATGCATATCTCCATGGCGTGAAATCTGTAACTAAAGGGTCCTTGGCGTATATTGCTACACAGGTGTGTTCGAATTTTGATAATACATGCCTATCTCACTCATTCCTTCAGGTTCGGTTTTCTCTGAGTTCATCTTCAGTGTTTTCACGTACCGACACTGTCACAGACTCTGAGAATTTTTACCATACTATCCTTGACCTCTTGGATGATCCTGATGAAATTCAGGAAGTAACTGACCTGATGACGTGGTGGACTCGGTCCGTAACAGATTTCACATCTTGAAGCGCTGAATTAACTCATCTACAGTCGGGTTTTTCCAAATTCTTCCTGCTCGCAGCAAAGTATCAGCCAAAACAGTGCATTATCCAAAATTCGGGAAAAACGGGCTGCCCTGCGAGAACGAAACACTGCTTGTGCTAATTAGTTAATTTGTCATATTCTATAGTGATGTTGTAAAGCCTGTGAATCTAATGAATGTGATTATGAAATGACCGCAATCTCCAGTGTAGCGCCTTGAGTCTAAACTTGATGAATCTGATCAGAACCGCTCTATGTAAGGCTGCCTATCTAAAGTCGGGCATGTATTGTCAAAACTCAGCAGTCAGGTATGGCATGATAGCCTATTCTCGCACCCTGGCACTATGTCAGTGGTGGTGGATTCCTCCACTGAAGGCTGCCTATCTATTCCTTAATCATTTGATCTGCAATTATGATAGATATTTTCAATATTGTGTATTAGGTAAAACAAGCTAAATCTTTGTCAGACTGGGGTCAAATGCCTGATGGAAAAGCTGATACACATGGAAGACGCCCTTGCGCGCGTATTCAGTGAACTTGCCACGAGTTGACGACAACCAGGCCATACTGTAAGAATGATACATTAAATGCCTACAATTATAGATGAAATGGGATACAATAATTCCTCTAGTCCATAGATACCTACATCTAAAACTTGAAAGTGCTCGTCAAGTGCTGGTCGAGCGGAGTTTTATTTACCTGAGTATGTAATGCTGCTATGCGAGTGGCTAGGACTTTCGCTTCAAAAGTAAAGTTTGTCTAGCAGAAAATGGATATATTCCAGAGATTCAACAATTATCAGAGGTACACTGATTATCTATCTAGTAGTAGATTATCTAGTAGTACTACTACTATCAGGAAGGTGATAATCAACGTGCATGCAAAGCCGTCCCCAGAGCAATCATGTTCTGCTTTACAGACAACGAAGCAGCATGCAGTGTAGGTGTGTCGCGGATGATCATATTGTGGGTCTGAATTGCTTTGTACTCTGTTGCCGACAAAGATGCTGGTGAAAATTGTACTGACTTATATACACCATCTTAGAACTCTAGTAGAGTGTTATGGACCGCAGTGCCCCCGATTGAGAATAGGTCGTCGAACTTGTCGAGCTCATCGAAGTCGAGCGCTTCATGAAGATGAGTGGTCCAGAGGGAATTACAGATCGTCTCGATGACGGTGGGGTGGTTGACAGGGGACATGATTGTAGGATCTTTCTGAAAGAAGCCAGTTTAGCAACCTAAGAATGAAAGAAA